ACTCCATTTCTGAAGAAGCTGGAGTAATGCAAAGAAGACAGATTGCATTTCAAAAGCTCTGCTTGATTTTCCGGTTATCAGAGCTCCTTCAAAAGTTTGAATTGAAGTTTTAGAGCTGAAAACGCTGAAATAGATATTGTAAATTATAAAAATGATGTGTTAGCTGTGTTATTTATTTCAGCGCTTACAAAAATTAGCAGGAAAACGTAGATGTTAAAGAAGTATATCTTGGCTGTTTCCTAAGTCATGCTGGTGCTTACCCAATATTGCTATAACAACGCGTTTGCTCATCTCGTCTCTATGTCAGAATCAGTAAGGAGTATGCACAGCACTTCCAGGCGTGTAAATTTTCATAATAGGTTGTTGCTTACTTAAAAGCCACTGCGATTCTCCGCAAAGCAGAGGTGCACTACTGTACATCTTATATTTGGAGCTCTGTGTGTGTGTGTGTGTGTGTGTGTGTGTGTGTGTGTGTGTGTGTGTGTGTGTGTGTGTGTGTGTGTGTGTGTGTGTGTGTGTGTGTGTGTGTGTGTGTGTGTGTGTGTGTGTGTGTGTGTGTGTGTGTGTGTGTGTGTGTGTGTGTGTGTGTGTGTGTGTGTGTGTGTGTGTGTGTGTGTGTGTGTGTGTGTGTGTGTGTGTGTGTGTGTGTGTGTGTGTGTGTGTGTGTGTGTGTGTGTGTGTGTGTGTGTGTGTGTGTGTGTGTGTGTGTGTGTGTGTGTGTGTGTGTGTGTGTGTGTGTGTGTGTGTGTGTGTGTGTGTGTGTGTGTGTGTGTGTGTGTGTGTGTGTGTGTGTGTGTGTGTGTGTGTGTGTGTGTGTGTGTGTGTGTGTGTGTGTGTGTGTGTGTGTGTGTGTGTGTGTGTGCAATATAAGTTCTGGAGAGGAAAGTGAAGTTATACTCTACCGTATCAAAAGATCTCAAGTTGTGAGAATTATGTGATACTCAGCAGTATTCAACGATGGCTGATGGCACTTATGCGCTTTACTGGGGCAGCGAGCGCAATTATCCACGCGCGCCTTGAAGGCAGTTGTCGAGAAAACTGCGAGCTGCGAGCTTTGCACAACTGCTTGTTTTTCTGGATCCGCTAGAATAGGGACTGTACAAAAATTCGAAAAATTGATTGGCGTATTCTAGCCATGGAGATTGCTAAGGGTCTGGAGGAGAATTTCCGCCAAAAACAGCGACTGGCTGCAGAAGACTGACCTCGCCCTTTTCGACGGCAGTCGGCAGATAGGCTCAGGCGGACAGTTGCAGCGCTTTTGGCAGGAATCGATCGTTCAATTCCTCCAACAATCTCTTAAGCCTGAAAAGGCCATTAAAAGCACTTTTTGGGATTTTTCAAGCACAGCCTTGGACTCAGCGCATACAGGAGGCGGTTCTCCATTGCAGTTCTCCCGACCACTGCCTTCAAAGGCAGCGTCGGGCAAGAATGGGGAGGGTGAATTTTTTACGCAGTGCAGTAGACCCCCCCTTCCCAACTAAGCCACCAAAGCGCAATGTCATGATTGCCATCGTTCTGGAAGAGTCCCCCCCCCTCTGCCCAAGGGTCGATGCATTAACATCCCCGCCGGGAAGAGGATCGCAGCTTAACCTTTGTATTTTGAAGCTCCAAATATCTGGATTTCACATTGTCTACCTATCCGTGAGTATCCCCACCATCCTTCACTGTGAACATTTTGAAGAGGAGGGAGAAGCTGTATAAGCTGTATATTACAGCTTTTTGTATGATCCCCTGATAGTCCCCAACTGCCGTCGGTTTTTACTTTGAATTCATTTTTCTTTCTTCGAAGTTAAGGAAAACATCACAAAGTCATGCCGATCATCTAACCCAACAGTGCTAAGCATGTTGCTGATTAGAACAAATGATATTTCAGAATCATGAAATTTGCGATGAACCACAAGTCGGAAGGTGGGTTTTATTGAAAAATTTTAGGTTTCAGTAACTAGATTGTTCTTATCGGCAACATGCTTAGCACTGTTGGGCTGGGCGAATAGTACAACTTCGGAATTTTTTTGGTTAACTTCGAAGAAAGCAAAATGACTTTGAAAAAAAAAGACGGTCGGCCGCAGGGGCTCATCAGGTGATCGTACAAAAGCTGGAAAATGCGGCTTGTGCAGCTTCTTGTCTCTATTTATATGTTCCTAGCGAAGGATGGTAAGTATTCCTACGGATACGGCGGTTCGGCGTAAAATACAGTTATCTGGAACTCAGGAATGTGAAGCCTTCTTTTAAGCTGGGATCCCCCTCCCGGCGGAGATGTTAATGTATGCGACCCTTAATCCTCCGATCCCCCACAAACGAGTCACAAATGCATATTGTTTCTGTATGGGATTGACAAGCACCCTCTGCACTCTTCACTCTAGCTAATTCGACACCATTCTCATTTACTCCTATAATCTCGTTTGAGCTTCCTCAAAAAGACAGGCAATATGGAGCTTATATTCTTGTTTAGCGGCACGGAACTCCCAATCAAGGGAGAAATCCATAGATCACCGACTTACCGGGGCGCTGCCTTCAACTTATTTTGCCTTCGTGTAGCATCAATCACAAACCAATTGCACACTGAGGCCTAATCAAAACTTCAAACTCGCCATGTTAGGAAACGTTAGAAGTGAAGCGCAAGTCAGCACCTTTTACGAAATAGGTGTGAGCATCAAGCTTGCAGGTAATTTTGTGAATTGATGCATGCTTTTGAAAGAGCTTTGATAAGTATCAAAAAAGTGAACGTCGCAATAAGTTTTAGCAGTATCAGGTTAATTCTAAAAAATTTCCTTCCTGCCCTATTAGTAAGATCAGACAGCGTCAGTGTCGCGGATTGGGCCCCCAGCTCCCAACGTCAATGGTATTACGGCTCTCCTGCATCGGCGAGGGAAGCCAGGGGTCCGCTCCGTGATAGAGTGAAGCCTATCATGTGAGGTTGCTACCTGTGTAAACGCTACTTGTGCCTGCCACATGGGTACTCCCTACACACATGAGGCCCTTACCACCAGCCTGCTTAGCAGCGACTTGTCACTTGTGATTAAATCAATGTCTCCAACCGTCGACAGTTGGGCGTGTACTCATAACCGTGGCACTACCATGAATCGTGCCAGCCTTCCTGCAGATGTTTCCCACTAGGCATAATTACAAATGCACATAGAATGATGACACAATTATCCCGGAGCCACAGCCGTGCTGTGGTCACCACACCACACAACTCGCACCTGTACAATGCCCACCATTTATCCGCAACTTATCCCTACACTCAAACATACGGGATGAGCACAACCGACCAGATGTTATCCTAGGGGCCGGCAATATCGGAAACCCCCCGAGGCGGTGTGCCAGGCGCGAGCGCGCTCGGGGTCATCTCGTAGCGTGGGAGCCAGTCCTCCGTGGGTTGGTGGAAGCGACGCGTGAGATGGGGTAGCGCTGATCGATCGATGGCTTGAGACGAATGGAACCCGACCGCTCACGATGGCGACAGCAGCGAAGAATGACTACGTGACTTATTTAAACGCTGCGCAGGTGAGAGAGGTAAGAGGCGGGACAGCGCGAGACGGCGTTTTGGGACCCCTTCGCAGCGCGGCGGCGGCAACCTTTGAAGGAAGTCGCGAATCCGCGACAATCAGATCATCTGCCAAGCTCTTTAAAATCAGTTCATCTCTATTGTTTTCCATTTGGACAACAATGAGAGATGAACTGATTTTAGACAGCTTGGCAGATGTTTGGCTAGTGATTCTTAGGTTTTGTTCAATTTTTTTGCAGTGTACGATATTGCTGATTTCAAATTTGAACCTGAAGAAATTTGGACTTAGAGTATGGAAGCTATTCAACCTTTTCCGCTTGGTAAGTGAAACCAAAAAGATTGATGAGAATAGAGCGCATGAGCAACAGTCAGTTTCGTCTGCTCTCTTGACTACGCGACAATTTTGTGCTTTTTATGAAATCAAATGATGTATAAAATTCTCTTCTACCCCTCAGTCAGAGCTTGGCACAAATTGTTTGGACTGAAACTAGACTTTCAGGTCTGAGACGGAGAACCTGAAAAATGGGCAAACATGTCAGGTTTTACAATTGAACGTGTCTTTTTGCACGCGCGAGTTCTAGATACATGACTCAAACAAACAGATGGTTTGTTCCCAACTCACAAACAGTCACATGATACCGAGGTAATGGGTTATGTGTATACAATAGTACTTACTACATCATGGAATATTCAAAAACTTATGCTCCTAACATCCATTCCCGAATTTGTTGGTTTCTAAACCAACAAATTCGGAAACGGATGTTAGGACGCATGGAAACACCCAATAAAATGGGTTGCTTCGGAGCATAAATACCGGAGAATTAACATAAGTTTTGGTCCTTTTTGATCTTGACGATTGGAACGCTCAAGAATCTGTCATATATTGGGAAGAGCACCAAGGATAGTATAATTATATACGCATTGACTTCCATTGATTTCTGTGGTGCAGTCGCTCGTCAAATTGTTGTAGTCTACAGATTCTAGGCTACAGGCTACAAAGTCTTGAGTTCGTTTCCAAAAAATCTTTTTTGGAAACGTTTCTTCAAACTAATGCGTCCTAAGCCCTACCCTGAGTCCTTCGCGCTCGAATTGGTTGCAATATTTTACACTCAGAATGGCGGGAACTGATATTGATTTTAACACGTTTGACAGTTTTCTGTGATCCATAGTTAACTTACTCTTACAAACTACTGAATGCAATTTCTTTTTCACTGATGTGAAGGACCCAGCACACCTCGCTCGATTTTGTGGCCGCGCGACTAGGCATGTTGACGAGTATCTTCGAAACGCTAGCAGACTTCAAGCTTACAGTATAGAACTTTTGCGACAAAAATCGATGAAATTGCATATTCTCTACGATCATAGTGCGCTCAAGATGATTGGTAAACGTCTGGAGCGTTGCCAAAGTGCGTTGCTACTGGATTTATAAATTTGATAATTACGCGTAATATCCGAAGCGTAGTTCACTTGTGCTCGCAAATTATAGACTTACTTTAGATTTCAGACGTCTGAACACTGGTGGAGGTATGACACAGAAGACAGCGAATACACCAGTGGCTGCAATGAACAGCAGCCTAAATTTATTGGTTAATCATATATTAGACTAGCTGGCTTACCCGGCTCCGCCGTATGTTCCGAATAGAAAATTCCATTTTTTAACCGATCCGGACCAAACTTGGCACACATACACTTCGGTCCCCGGCGAGTGTCACAGTCCACTTTTCGTTGTCGATCGATGTCGATTTTATCGATTTTTTGCAAAATTTGAGCTAGGGGGCTGGAATTTGGCAGAGGGGTGTAATCGAGCGTGCTGATCACCCCCACGGGGGTGATCAGCATGCTCGATTAGTCCGGACCGGATCGGTTAAGAAATGGAATTTTCTATTCGGAACATACGGCGGAGCCGGGTAAGCCAGCTAGTGAATTATATACCAGTCTGAAGAGCATCGAATGTTGATTCCAACATTCTCTTCCTTTCTTGCCAAGCATCTCTAGAAGCTGAGTTATGAGTGTTTTGTGGAGCTACAAAATCTGGGTAAATAATGGTTATGGTCTTTCCAGGGCTGAAATATAGATGCGTTGAGTACGAGTATATTAGACAAAAAGTTTTTCATGCATATAGTGCTCTGATATCCAACGCTGGGGCATTTGTGCAATCTTGGGCAACTTTATTCCAGTTGCAAATTCATGACCCAAAAACACTCATAACTCAGCACTCATAACTCACATTCAGCTTTATGTATAAGATTAGCAACTAATTTCGGCATGTAATCATATTTCCTCTGCAATGTAGAGCCCCGGTTCTTCAGCATCGTATAGAATATGATAAAGGGTGTGCACTACGAACATGCGCGTACCGTTTCATTTGTCAAATTATTGATTCTTCAAGATAGTAAAACTAAGAGCTAGTCTCATAGAATTGCCGGGTAGGCGGCCTTGCATTTATGGGCAAGCGGGCACTGAAAAATAGATCGTTGATTTCTTGCGGGCCACTTGCAGATATTTGAAAAACGGTTGACCTAGACTAACGCTCAGAAAATAATCGCTGCTTTTTTATAAATTAGTTGCGGAGCAGCGGCCGCAGTTAATCTGTGAAAAAACAGCGATTGTTCGCTGAGCGTAATTAAATTGAATAGAAGTTCTAATTCTCAGAATGATCGATTGGCTTCATCGTTTCATCGCTTTTGACAACTTCGAGCGAGAAGCTAACAAGGGAACGATACTCAATGTCCGTGGCCTTTTGAAACGAGATGTAAACCGTTACACTCTTCTTCAAACGCTGATTCCGAATCTGACTTCCGTTTCTGCTAATCGTTTCTCTGAAAGAAGTTATGGAGGAATTTCGAGCCAAGTTTGGCCGCCCAAGGGTATGGTCCGGAACGGCCTCTACCGCCGCCAGGTTCTTATCTAGTGGTTAGTGCGATAGCCTCATAAATTGATGCAGGTGTAGGTTCAAATCATTTTGTGTTTTTGCTTTTGCATTGCCTCAATTAAGTTCGTTCGAGAAAATTTAGTCGAATTAATGGATACCTTTTAGCGCAAATAGTGATCATTTTTTCCAATTTTCAAATCTTTTGAAGATTAGGGGGGTTCAATCAACTCGAGGATGCGAAAGAATGTTAATTGTGACAATGCAAAACTGAAAAACACAAAGGGATTCGAACCTACACCTACATCAACTAATGAGGCTATCGCACTAACCACTAGAAACCACACTGCACACCTAGGGTTGGCGCTCCGACCGTATTTCAATGGGCAGCCAAACTCCGCACAATCCATTGTAACATTTTCAAGCGATTAGCAGAAACGAAAGTCATATTCGGCATCAGCGTTCCAAGACGAGTATAATGGTATACAACTCATCTCAAAAGGCCACGGACACCGAGTATCGTTTCCTTGTAAGAGTTGCTACAGCGGATATGGCGCCGATAACGAAGAAAAACTTGAAAAAATACCCGTTGCATTCTCGCTTCCACCGTTTTTTGCAGAGGTTGATCAGAAGTGGAAAAATTTGGCCCCGGGGTAAGTAAGCATGTTGATTATTGAAACAAGCAGAAACAAGGAAATGGCATATAAAAGTGGGAGGTAATGGAAAGAGAATTGCAAAAAAGCAGATTGGCGTTTTTTTTATCTATGTGGACTTGCAAAGAAGTAGCTTGGCTTTTTTTCATTTATGTACACATGGCAGAATGGAGACGAATATTTATTTATTCAATTATAACAGGCTTAATGGTGCACCAAAACACCAGAAACGACAAAACGAGGCGGGTTACATAGCAGGTGAACGCAAACTGCGAACTCGCCCTTTCTTACCAGCGGACAGCCAAATTTTGGAACGTGGCTAGACCTCATGTGAGCGGTACTTTATTTTGTGTTGCATGCTCTGCCAACAAGCAGCAAGACAGAATTTTCTGCAAGCGCTCATTGGTTATTTTTGAGCGCATATATTCAAACGAAGCTCTTCATAATATCAGCAAGAGCAAGTTTACACAAAAAGACAATCATGTTTCGTGAAATTCCCAATGGTCACATGCCAAAGCTTTTCACTTTTTTTTAAAAAAAGGCAAATTTTGGCTCGCGTTCTACATTGTATTTACCGACTTCTCAAGAACCAGCACTTTGCATAACACTTGCACATTTTCTAAAATTTTACCTTTAGTCAAATGTTTTGTGCGACTTTCGGTAGGACTTAATCCTACTACCCATCCAAAACAACCAAGAGTACTCTGCAAAAATTAAACGATTGAATTCAAAAGCAGTATCCCGGCAAATTTTGCATTTCCATTTTTTCCATGTTTTGGGACTTTTCGACCCGTAGACCCCATATCTGAACTATGAAACGGGTGTAAAGACCTTATTTGGGGCGTTTACCCAATTTCCAAAAAGCAGCTCGAACAAGAATTTCAGCGAAAATTTGGGAGGAGTTGGCACGAAGACCTGCTGCCTGTAATTTTTGCTTTGAATAGCATGCACAGTACGGCAGAGCGGTCGTGGGATTCATGGTAAGCGAAGTCGTCCGAGCGCGCGCCGATTCAAGGGCTATTTTCTCAGCCCAGGGAAACATCAATTAGCCGGACTGCGCCTGGAAGTCAGTGGGATGACCAGAAACCCCAGCATAGCAATATCCCCCAGGGCGCAAATCTGCCGGAACACTGCCTTTAAGCCTCAATTTTATATTGAGGGCCTCCACTGCAGCATAGTTGATGACATTTTTTCAGCACTGTTAGGCCTTTATGAACTCAATAGTTCGCAATAAGAATTTTCGAACATTATCTTAACGTTCTCATTGACATTTCTTCTTACAAGGTCGATATTGTGCTATAGTTCTCTAAAAACTCTTCTCTAACAGTAAACCAAAATTGCCAATCAGAAAATTCTTAGGTTTTTTGGATTTCTTTTGAAAATACGAAGTAATTCAATAAATTGTTAGACGCATATATGCAGCATTATTTTGTTGGATGAAAAAATTGCATTGGTCTTCAACAGAGAGCATTCAGATCTAATATGTTGAATTTTTAAAGAGGAAAGCTGAGCTTCACATTTTATGCAAAATACCCGTGGCTACATCGCTGATAAAGACACGTTCAAGTTGAGCATCATAGAAACCCCACCAAAGGAAGCACTTGGATGACAAAGGTGTCATCGCTGAGTTAGTTACCTGTGAAGTACTGTTCGTGCGATTATGGGTCAAGCGGCATTTGATAAAAGATCGCGCGGCCCTCCACTTTCTTACACAACTTGCGAAAAATCTGCGAGCATACGGCCAATGCGCCACAACTGTGCTAATAAAAATGTTAGCGGTTGCATTCAGAGCGTTCGTGTAAAAAGCATCACTTTTTCGAACAGCGCGCCTAACCCGGCAATTGTCTGAGACGTTGTCCATTGTGGAAATCACGTCATTCTTCTCCAAGAAATACATAAACCTAACCGACTTTTTCTAGGCATGAATAGAAACGTTTCTGAGGGCTTATTGATCAACGTTATCCAAGGAGAACGAATTGACCCATGAGACCTGAGCTACCGAAAGAGGGACCTTTAAGTGGTGGACTCACTGATTCTCTTGAACAACCTTTGAAGACTGGTGATGATAAAGCCAAACAAGTGCAAATCTAAGGCACTGAGAGTCAATTAGGTATTTGTGTAGGAAAGGCAGATGTAGTGAAAACAGGATCTGAACCACAGGACGCAGTGTGATGCAATCGCAAATACAGAAGAGCATTCAAGGTGTAAGCAAGAACTGTGTTCAGGGTTATTGATTTTCCTCCATACATTTTTGGAATTCTGGAAACTACACTACATAGAAGTCTTGAAGGTCGTCAAAAAATCACCTCCGGAACTGACATTGCGGAGGCTCATGATGTTCTTAAAAAATGCGAAAAGAACTCTTTAACGTCGTTATTGTTCAGCGTTCGCACAATGTTAATTAAGGTTAGGTCATAATGATCCTTATAGTCCCAGTAAATGAGTTCTTTAATTTGAAATGAGGAAGTTCATGGTCTACGAGTAGTTGCAAAACTTAGTTACCGCAATGACAATTTGGCTGAAAGGTTGTAAAGTACAGTTTTAAGCCCGTATGCACGTACATCCCCGCGGGGAGGGTAGGGGATCTCAGAGGGGAAGCGTCATATCTCGCTAGTCTATATACCTTTCTTCTTCTTTCTCTGTCTTGCTTTTGAAGGTTCTCATACACTGATACGTGCGCATAATGGATGCTAGGTTACTGCTATACAAGATTAGACAATCACTATTTCGTCTGATCCCCTGGGAATCCCCAGGGGATCACCTCACATTTTCAAAGTCATTTATATTCCTGAAAACTCAATGAAAATGCTCTAAAATTGCAGTGAGGATTACTACAGTACTGCTAAACATGTTCAAGGTAGAAATGAGTGAAATCTCAAGATATCAAAATCTTCGATGAACCGCTGCTCGCGAGCCAGGGATTATCGAAAAAATCAAAATCTTCAGATTCCATTTCTTCTGTCGAAAACATGCTCAGCGGTATCGCAGTATATCTTCAGTATAATTTTGCAGCGTTTTCATTGATTTTTCAGGAAGATAAATGACTTTGAAAATGTGAGGGGATCCTGGGGATCCCCAGGGGATCAGAAGAAATAGTGAATATTTGATCTTGTATGGCAGTAACCTGGCATCCATTATGCGCACGTATCAGTGTATGAGAACCTTCATAAGCAAGATAGAGAAAGAAGGAAAAAGATATGTAGACTAGCGAGATATGACGCTTCCCCTCTCAGATCCCCTCCCCTCCCCGCGGGGATGTACGTGCATACGGGCCTTAATTTAACGCACCCTCTCAGGCCACCATTTATCACAACAGGCTCATTTCTTTTGAGATGTCTGAGGAAACATTCCAAAAGCTCTCGGTTTAATGTTGTGTTCCCTTCAGATGATGTGCTGTTTGACTCCAAGAATCTTCTGAACTTTTTTTCGGCTTTTGTCAAGTTCTTGAGTGATTTCTCAATGATTCTCTGGAAAGTGATGGTTGATCTTGAAAGTCAGAAGCATGCATGTCAGCAGTAAGTGATACGCATGTATAAAAAAGTTCTAATTTTTTTGACAGTCGTTATTGCAAGCATAGTCCATTAGATGTTCTAAAAATATGGTGGTGTTGTAATTGGATTGATACCGTTTTCTAATGGAAAACTACATATCGACGGTTTCATTTTCGATAATCTTCTAACTCTAAAAAAAGCTTTCGCTTCTTCTGACCCCTATAATGCAAAGCTGATTTTAACTTACAAGAAAGAGTTCCCAAGTCAGCTCGGCCACCCCGGCTAAGTCATACATCACAGTAACGAGCTTGAAATGCTGATTCCAAATCTGCTTTTTTTCTGCGGAACGAATCTACAAAAGAAGTTATGAGGGTTCGAAAATTTGAATTTGTCATGTTTGAAGTGGCTTATAAAATTAGTGAAAGCACTAGAACAGCACCTAGCGGACTTCCACTGGTTGTTTTTCGTCCTTGTAGTCAGTATACTTGATACAAAACTGAAAACCCACTTTTACGTGATATTGTACAGCTCTCGTCAATTTTACGCCACTTTAGACTTGACAAATTTGGACTTTCAAACGCTAATAACTTCTTTTGTAGGGTTGTTCCGCAGAAACCAAAAGCAGATTCGGAATACGCGTTTTAAGCCCGTTAGGCCCCGGGCAGACTTCACGCGATTTGATCGTCGCGACTGAATCGCGGGGAGACAACTGTTACAACATCATTCCATGCAGATCAACTTGCATTCGGTTGTGGTACTTTTCCAGACCGAAATTTTTGAATGTGAAATGAAAATGAATGGAAATCTTGGCGATTTGGTCGCGACTTAAGTTGCGTGAAGTCTGACCGGGGCCTTACGGTGATGTATGACTCGTACGGGTTGGCCGGGCTGACTTGGGAACTCTTCCTTGTTAGATTTACAGTATGAAGTATAGTTGGTCTATTCGAATATTCGACTATTCGAATATTTAAATATCGAATATTCTAGGAAGTTCATTTAGATATCTTCGAATAGTCGAATATTTGAAACGTTTTGGAAAAAAAACTTACTTCAATTTTCGAATATTTGAAACATTCTGGAAAACAGTCATTTGATTACTCAAATATTCGAGGGCGTAGAGAAGTGCAGATTCGAATATTCGAATATCAAAGACCATTTTTGAGCATTCTATGTTCAAAAAAAACTTCAGCTGTTCTACATTGGGTGCATGTATGTCTCGGACAGAATGTCTAGCATTCCCTTATCAAGGCAATCGCGAGTCATGCCAGAGCATAATGAGGACAAGTCTAATGCACAATTCATTTGTAATAGTGAACTATATTCCAGAAATCGCGTTAGCGCAAGGCCAAAGCAAGGCGGTCGCTAAGAATTAAGCCGCTTGACTTGTGGCGGCAGCCTTACGTCAGTCACCATATTCAAATCGCTGCCTTCATAGTCAGGAGGGTAAAATGTTTAATGGTTAAGATGCGATATCAGGGTTGGGCCAGACTGCGCGGCGTACGCGACGTACGCAGCGTACGCCGCGTATGCTCCTATGATGAAATATACAGAGCGTACGCTGCGTATGCCGTTTCCCCGCGAAGTCTGGCTCAACCCTCATGCGTGCGCAGACACCTCAAGGCTATAATTTGGGTGAAGAAGCAAAGGCGTCGTCAGGCGGCGCTTCAGCGGACCACTGGTTTTCAAACAGCCTGCATAAGCATGTAAAGGACCAGCAATTCTTCAGGGCAGCACATACTGGCTACATTCATTCCTTCATCCCGAGATCTTTACTTGCCTTGCCAGCCTAATCAACGCCTGCGTGTCAAAATAACTAAAGAGATAACGCAGCGCAAGGCCAAAGCAAGGCGGTCAAGAATTGAGCCACTTGACTTGTGGCGGCAGCCTTATGTCAGTCACCATATTCAAATCGCTGCCTTCATAACTTATTAGGGCTTGATAGCCGTCTCAAAGGACAATGAACAGCTCGAACTACATGTCTGAATAAAATTCTTCTCACAAAGGAATGGTCAGGAATCGAAGCGGCCAATGCAAACAAACTGCATACCAATAAATGCAGCATAAAGTGATGATCGAATCTATATTCCATATCTGCTTAGCGCCTATGTGGGCGAAGTTGAGCCGTTAAAATCCGTTATACTACTTAAAAATGGTGCATGCAAAGGGCAAATTTGACGGTGCAGAAATATGTTCGGCTTAATACTGTGCCAAAACATGCAGATAGGTTGCTTCATATTCTTAAAGCCTGAAAGTGAGGTGAAAGTGCAAAAGTGCTTTCGCGATTTTTATGTACTATTTATTGGCAATAGAACCGCTCATAACTTCGTCCACAAAAGCTAACCAGATATGGAAAACAGATTTGAAATCAGCGTTGAATGCTGTATTGAATGGTATGCAGCCTGCTTGTATTGGCCACTTAGACTTCTGACCATTCCCTTGTCAGTTTCCTAAACCCCGATCAAACGACAGTAACCCAGTCATCGTTACCACTTTCTACTCATATAATTATCAGCTGCAAACCTTGAGCAAATTTAGCGACTAATTTTTTTGCAGAAAACTGCAACAAAGAAAAAACCAGCTATGTTCCATTAAATTGTTCGAATTATTCGAATAGTCGAATATCCGGACAAGTGTGATTATTCGATTATTTCAATAGTTACCAACCCTAATTATTCAATTATTCGTTCATTCGAATATTCTTCAAAAGCCGATCATTCGATATTCGTTCGTTCGATATTCGAGATTTTTCGGTCGTTTCAACTTTAGTATAAAAACAATCAATCACCGACCTCGCTTCATTGCTGTTACCAAAGAAATTGCCAGAATATAGCGACAATGTGGTAATGCTTGTTTCAAAAAAAACCTTCAAGTTTTCAAAGTTGTTTATTAAATTTTTACTCATGCTGATTTCCATGTTCGACTTTTACACTTTAGGCTTTTTGAATAACCTAGTTGTATTGTGCGGACATCGAAAGCTTTGCCAGGGTATACTTAATCTAACTTATGCATGAAGCATCATTAAAGTGCAGCTTGATATAACGAGTCTGCTATTAGCCTAGCAGTGTTTGATTGCTTGCTGTTTTTGCGGCAGCAGGTATTTTTTTCCTTAAAATCTTCTTCGAAGTTGATATCAGGTCGTTCCATATGTAATGTCGTATTCAAAAGTAAGCCACATCTCGAAGAACAAAGATGTGTAAAAGATTCTGTTAGCATTTAATGCATCATTTCATTCTTTCTAATGGTTATACATATAACCACTGCACGAAACTCAATAACCTCTCGAAAAATTATCAAAATCTTGACCCATGCTTTCTTTTTGAGAAGGCCAAATTTCACGATTTTTCTAAATTCTTATAACAACCCTCGGAAGGAGTCCAAGTAATGGATGGATAGGGTAAATCCCACAGAAAACTGCAGATCTTTTTTCTACTTTCTAGATCATAATTTTTATATAGGTTTTTTTGATGGAACCACCGAATTTAGCAGGCTCGTCTCAGACACAAATGCACCAAACACCAATAAATCTTCGGTTTGAAACTTACAAGGTTTGATTATGGTTTTACACTAATTTTACAAAGCAAATAAGCATTCACCGCGGCAGATTAGCAGCTTTTGAAAATTCCGGGTACAGCCTGAGGCGCCCTGAAAACCTGAAGTATGAAGATTTTATTCTGGAAAACTTGATGAGTAGGAAACAAAAAACAACTGTAGAAGGAGGAGAAAAAGCTGCGTCGAAAGGCACCTGAGTCGCTTGCCGGTTGTTGTTCTGTGAGGTTTGAATTGACCAAATATGGAATCTGACAGCAGTGAAAAACTGATTCCGGAAACTCTAAGAAGCAAGCTAAGGAAAAGAAAAAGTTACTTTGTGTCCTATAGGGCACAAAGTAACTTTTGCTCTATCTAGCAGTTAATTGTACTTTTCGGAGAATGGGTACAAAAATTTGGAAAACTAGCAGAACTTGACCATGTCAAAAAGCAAGACTCGCCGATTTTGATAAATTTTCGAGAGCTCAAATATTATGCAACGAATACAACCGTTAAAAAGAGGATGAAATGATGCATCGAATGCTTCTAAGATCTCTTGATTCCATGGAATTTGGCTTCATTTGCAAAAAACGAAATTACTTTTGGAACGACCTAATATAAGTGCAGATACATTATACCGAAGAAAAACAAGCAATATGTTCCATACGGTGAAATCAAGTTACACCTCTACATGGTGAAAAAGCCTTCTAAAACGCGCAATTAGAAACTGACCATTCGATTCCTTTTTAGACACCTTGCACTTATGAAGGATAATCCACATAAAGTGTGACGCAAGAAAAACCATAACTTCTCAAAGACTGATAGAGACTTTTGCCTTTATTGCATGGATAAGACAGCTTGTCGCTTCGGTAAAAGCATTTATTCTTTTTCGAACCTCTTTCAAGAATTTTCAAGTTGTGCTGAACGGTCCGTTGGCAACATTTTATCTCAGGCTCTGACTAAATTTCTTTCTAACAAATCAAGTTAAATGCATTCAAAGAACAAGCTTTTTGCTCCCAGGATGACCAGAAGGAGGGTTTGTGTGATCAAGATTGGGCGGTTTTACTTTGCTAAATATTATTTGACTATTCGAAGAAGGAATTTCACACCACTGCAGTATCGCTGGTTCCTGGTTTTGCAGAATCGCAGACAGCGTTTAGTGTTCCTTTGAGGCAAGGGAGTACAACGCCCTTTGGAGTTTGCTTTCAATGTTTTTTTTCACTTGAAAAATTGCTAATCGGCTACCCATAACGGCTGCGTTCAATAAACCCTTGAAAAAGATCAATTCTTATCAAAAACCGTAGTTGGAAAAACACAAAAGAATATGGAAGAACGACAATCATCCAAACATGGCTTAATTGACAAAAAACGGATTTTTGCAGCTCGCCAAACTTCATGTAGGCCACATTTGAATATAGTCAGCCGCCCAATATCAACCCCGCAAAATCTTTTTGGTTATCTGTGAGCAAAAGGCCCACTCTTCCAAACTTAAGTCGCTGGATATACTGAAAGAGACCTAGACCTAATGATGACTTAGGACGAGATTCGGACTAAAGCCATTGAGAAAAAAAGGATTGTAAAAATTTTCAATCAGAAAAATTTTTTCCATCAAAGCCGGAGTCGAATATTTTGGAATCATTACTTAATAATAAAGCGCCTAGACCGTCTGTCTGTTTGTCTGTGTATGTATATTTGTCTATCACGAAATTCGTAGAGAGGGTTGCAGCAGACATCTCAAGCCAGAATTTTGCACAACGCACGTCGCCACCATGTAGGTCCATCATCCAAAAGCACGGACGGATTCGCTGCGTGGAACCTATGGAAACTGCGCAACAAACGGGTCCACACGAGTTTTGGCGCGCAAAATCAGAGCCGCATTTGAATTTATTACACAGTGAAGAATATATTTGACATATATACCTAAAAGACATTGACATTGGCCCAAAAAGGAAACCAAATGTCTATTACTTTACAAATACGATGCCAAAAAGAATTGGCTGTGTAAATGTTCATTTTCCCAAGATGCTACTTTATTATTCGTGATGATCTTTGCACACTGATGTAACCCACGCTAATTGTCATTGAGGGCGGCTACCAAGCCATAAACAGTCCAAAAACCGATCTAAATTTGCATTTGTTCTTCCGGGAAAAGTTTCATCAACGCGAAAATACTGATCTCACATGAAAAACTTTAGAAATGAGCAGTTGTTAACAGATCATTCGTGATAGTCAGCATAACACGATAAGTTTTAATGTCATTGTTGCGCGAGTGAGTAAGACGTAAAGATAATGGGACCAATGCGAACCTCTGCGAAGCAGAGGTGACGCACTGGTTACTCTATAAGATCTTATGCATTTTCTTGTCGATAGCTTCGATACCAATGCGTTCCATTGGAGTTATGAAGAATGTCATGCGTCACATTTCCTGTGGACCACCTTGTAGCCGGCAAGTGTGCATAGGTATCCACGCATCTTTTCATGCAATTTACCCATTTAGATATTTTACTGCGGCACAGACGTTCACGGAAACTACTTATGCTTAGAGAAGAGAATACTTTTTGCTTAGAGCGGATTAGCGCTTTGATAAGTACTTCTCCTTTCCACAGCTAAGGACATTTGTTTAGGAACGCGAATGTGGCGTCCTTTAAGCTAAGGATCGAGTAGGAACGAATTTACACTACTTCACCTTAGAACTTCGCTAGGCAGATTCCAAGGAAGCAGTGTGCGCGTTGTGGCAAAAACTGTACGTATGTTCCGAATGGAAAATTCCATTTCTGAACCGATCCGGACCAAACTTGGCACACATACACTTCGAGGTCGGGCGGGTGTCATAGGCTACTTTTCGTCATCTATCGATATCGATTTTATCGATTTTATCAATTTTTTTGCAGAGTTCACCTACGGGGCTGGGAGTTTGCACAGGTAATCGAGCATGAGGATTCCGAGTACAATATTAGTTTTCATGATTATCGATTATTTTTATCGATTTTATCGATTTTTTCATAAAGTTTGAGCTACGCGGCTCGGATTTGGCACAGGGGGGTAATCGAGCATGCTGATTACGAGTTCGATATTAGTTTGGCACTTTTCGGCTCTCCGGGCCCCAGATTTTTTTGTGGTAGAGCTTGCTCAAACTTCGTGTATAAGGGTTATCTTAAGGGCCGGGCATACTTCAAGCAATTTCAATCGCGACGCGATCTGGCAATATCCCAGATGTTTATAACTCATTGCAAGCACATTATAAATGTACAGAAGATAGGGCATGTCATCGTTTACGTAAGTTATACACACTATGCATGTGCAGCTTGCTAATGTTGGATCCGAAGACTTCTGGCGAGTTGCCAAATCGCGTCGCAACTGAAATCGCGTGAAGTATGCCCGGCCCTTTACATGCTGATTACAGATATCACACTTTCTCCGCAGAACGTCTTCCCATGTGATTACGATAGGTGTACGGTAGGAAGTCAAAATCATGAATTCGGCTGGAGTTCGGTCCACATGGCTTATTCGACATGCTAATTACGAGTATCATCTCTCTCTGCATATTGGGACCTTTTCATAGAGTTGTGGTGGTTATATGGCACGGGGTCAAAAACATAATTTGCTTTAAACTTCGTCTAGGGTGGTCATTTAGCGCGCTGAACATGAATAACATGCTGATTTCGCAGGATAGTGCATTTTCTTGGGTTACGGTGGGTGTAGATGGTTCAAAGTTCCAGATTTGCTCAGAAGCTCACCTGTAACGGTTCACAAGTATACTGCTTATGAACATGAAATTTGCTCGCTGTCATAACGCAATAATGAAGTTATGGTGAGTTGCAGGGTTTAAATGGACATTTTTTCGCTTTCGGGCCAATTTAGATCGCAGATATTCAAGAGATGGGAAACTGTAGTTTTGCATGGCGGTCTCCAGCGCCATCCTGATAACCTGTCCCAAGCGTAACGCACGCGGCAAATCTCCCTCCCCCTGTTTTTGCTCAAGCAAAAGCCGCCGAAGGGTGTCTCGCGCGCGGTAAGTGGTCCTATAAGGGAAAGCGCTACGGTCGTGGGAAACTTTTATACCACACGAATTGCCTTTATAGTGGGGATTGAGCACGATGTTCTTGAAACAGCACTTTAGGTAATTTTCTGCCAAGGTTTCACGGAGGTTCGATTTTCACCCACTGCCATGTACCTACCTTAACTCTGCGAAAAGGTCTCAAAACGCAACGAGAGTGTTCTAGACGTGGTCAGAAGATCGAATCTCTCTAGACCGAGTTTCAGCCAAAACTGAGATTTCGCCCCTCTACAGTATACTACCATTAACTTAGTGAAATCGCCTCAAAATGCCGAAGGAGTATGATATTCGTAATCAGCATGTCAATTAACCCCCCTCAAAGTTTCAGCGAATTCCATGACTTTAGCTTCCTGTGTGTACCCAACGTAAACCCAGAAAATGGCGCTATATCGCGCGAAATGACTACGATATTCGTCATCAGCGGCTTTAATAATCCCCATGTACCGACTTTGAGCGAGATAATCACAGAACATTTTGGGGCCGGATAGCCGAATAGCGCCATCAATTTTTCAGAATTATCCTTACTTTTACCAGTTTTATTGTTGTTTTTTTGCAAAGTCTGAGCTACGGGGCTCGGGGTTGTTGAGGGAGGTAGATGGGCATGCTAATTACTTACACAGCAGGAATAGGAAATTGCATGTAGAAGCGGACACAAACAAAGGTTCTACAGGGATAGGGATAAAACCTTAAACATAGCATTGACAGGGCAGGGCGGAGCCGGATAAGCCAGCTAGTATAACATAAAAATCTCATCAACCTCAATTTGAGTGAACTTGCTTCAAACATCGCATGCTTCTGTACTGGGCTTGATTCGTCAAAACGTTTTTGGTGGGAATTTTGGATGAGCGGGCACGGAGTTGAGCTGTCAGTGGCAAGATTCCTCTTTCCTCTCTAAAGCGAGGCCCTCGCTTCAGAATTCATCCTTTTCAGTGGCACTCAAACAAGTATTCACTTGAAAGTCTTAGTGCTGTAGTTCATAGATCTATCACCCTTAAAAGTACAGGACGATACCTTTGAAGGCAGCGTTCAAGCAAAAAGTCGATTTTGAGATTTTGGGCTTACCTGGGCCTCTTCGCCATGCTGAATCCGAAAATCAACATTGGAGAACGCGAAAACGGCGAAAAAAGGCTCTAATAGAGGAGGGAAATTGCAGGTGGGCGGGGCTGTTCACATAGTGGCGTCACTCTCCCAGCTTCAGAAGCTATCTTCTCGCTTCCGCTAGTCACTCCAACACCAGCCGACTGCGAAACGCATGACGTAAAATCGGAAGCGGGGAGATCGCTCCTAAAGCCTGGGAGAGTGACGTCACGGTGTGAACAGCCCCGCCCACCTGCAATTTCCCTACTGCGTTAGGGTCTTTTTTTTGGGGTGCGCTCTCTATTGTGGTTTCTCGGATTCAGCATGGCGAATAGGCCCGGGTAAGCACAAAATCTCCAAATCGACTTTTTGCATGGACACTGCCTTTAAGACTTCAAATCATGAACTATAGCAAAAAGAACACTATTTTGTCAACTATAGGTTCGTAGGTTATCTGCCAAACACGTTGCTTCAAAAACTCAAAGTTAGCAAGCAATTCTGTAAAGGAAATTAAGCAATTGTAAGCATCCTGAGTCTCACGTATTGACATCTCGTTATGGAGGACTATATTCAACTAGTGGTAATTTGATGATCAATTCAGACACCCTATACATCGTGGGTTAGCGTGTCAAATCTATGCTTTCAACAGCTAAGTAGTTCATGAGAATAGCCAGTATAACTAATGTACTAAAAGATGGATAAATGTTCGCTCAATAATTTGTGCCTATCTCAAAAGTTTTTGGAGCCGATTGCATTTGTACTTTTCTTCCGACAACCTTTGAGTCACAACTATAAAAAGCCTCATCTCCTGCAAATGAATATTTCCTCTTCTAGAAAGTGCTCACTGCTGCATTCTTTGCTGTGTTGCAGAAGGTTTGGTCGCACAAGCATGTCACGGCATATCCATCGATGGGCCAAACTCCACATAAAGGCAGTCCTTTCTAAAAGTCATCTAAGAGGTCTTTCTGAAGCGATTAACATGCTCGATATTACGAAAAATACTCACTGTCTTTTTTATCGTTTAAAACTCAATCTGCGAAACTTTCTATTTTGAGTGGTCTTATAATTGAATTCAAGGGGTAAACAAGAGCATGTCAAAATTTATAAAATGTCATCCACTGAACACGTTTTATCAAAATTTTCACACTTACTTGATGTTTTTGCTTTGAAAATTTTGCACAAAAAACACACTTTTCGGATACCGTTTTCTCAAAGTAATGAAGTGTAAACTGTTTAAGATCAATATGTTGATTGCGACACAGGATACATACATGCTGCAGTTCATATGTATCAAGGAAGTATACAAAAAGAGTGCCGTTCACGTAACGATTGTTGCTATCCTTGCTGTGGGCACTAATTTGAGGATCGGATCATGACCAGGGTCGATCAAGAGATATAGCACGACCGCCGGATATAGCCCCCCCCCACCCCAGTTCCGTCTCAATACCTCTTCCCCTCCCCAACATTATCATTTGCTTACGTAAGCGTAGCATCCGTAAAGGTTCTACCGTGCATAATTGGTAACATGTTCGTAATTATCATGTCAAATAACCAAATGTGGGCTAAGTTTTAGCGAATTCTGAGAGTTTCTATTATTAGGCCACTCCAGTAAAGTGGATTAGCTATTTTTTTGTTCTCAGTGCAAAGCACTACTGAATACATGGAATCACACCCAAAGTCTCATTTGTTCCATTTTTCCCTTATAATGATTGTGCTTCCATCAATGGTGTTCAGGGCTCGGCACGAGCTGGCACCAGGGGATTTTCAAAACGAAGTCCCCCTTGAAAATTTGGGAATTTTTACGAAGTCCCCTTTGATTCTCAATGATATCCCCTCTAAAATCCTAAAAAACGCCCCAAAAACGAAACGTCGACTAAAAAAACGTCGCCGTCGCCAATTTTCGGTATCTCTTCGCCCACGAAAACGAAACCCCCTTTACTTTTTGCTCCAAAAACGATATCCAGCTTGCCCCGTGCCAGCTGGTGCCAGGCCCTGATGGTGCTCAAACAAAAGTAGACATATTCAGCTCTAATCACTTGTACAAAAACTACGAGATGCTGACTATCGAACGTTTCTATTTTGTTCGTTCAAATTGTCTTTGAAGGTAAGTTAATGGGCTGGGGCATAACCTCAGAGAAGCTGTGGCTGCCACATTTTTAGGAGTTGTGCCACATCCCGTTAACTTACCTTCAAAGCACCCAAATATCTGTGCCTATATATTTGCTACTGCTGAACCTTCTTCTCTACGCAGATATTTCGTTCAAAATTTTTAACCTAGGAGAAGATATAGTCATTAGTTGAAAAATACTGCGGAAATATTGAGTTACAGTAACAAGCTAAGTCGGCGAGATAGGTTAATTGCGAAGTTCATGCTCTTATGCTTTTAGGGCTCTCTTACTTCACGTACGCGATGGTAAGGCAAAGCATCAATGTGCTAGTACTTTGTTCTTTCTTTTTGAGCCATACGCGAGATTGGTAATTGATTTATTCAATCCACGGCTAACGTTTCGGCAGATCGCCTTCGTCAGAGCCTGTAAGGAACAATACGATCCGCAGCCTATTCGAACAAGCCTTACAGGCGAAATGCTAAACCTTATTTTCGACCACTGATTCAGCTGCACTCGAGGCACGACCTTCCGGATACACCGATACTACTCTGCTAGAGGAATGTGGAGGTCACGTTGTCCACTGTTAAAGGAAGGGAATTGTTAGACGTGTATGCAGACCGCTATTTGTATACACCAGATCAGAATAATTGATCTAGATAAGGCGAGAGTTCATGCGTAATTGCTGAGTTTTCCTCTTTCCGATTCATTTTTGGGCTTCTTGCGTGAATACAAAACGCCTCTAAACACTTACGCGCTTGCGTTTGAGACTCATAGGCCAAGATTCTCATTGAAATTTCAAAGTTCATTCCTGCATGCTGCACTACTCTGTGGGTGCCTAGGGGTGTTGATGTACGTGCTTTATCTCTGCCGTCTAGATGCTCTTTAATACGGAATATAGTGGACGCGCTGTTTCACCAATGTATTCATCACCGCAAATCGCGCATGAAATCAAGTAGATGACTCCAGCTGCCATGCAGTCCCCTTCTCTGCTTGCAGGGCAGATTATGCAATTCGGGGTAACGCAATTGCGATCATATAAGCGATTGCGAACTAGGATGGTCTTCAAGTTGTTCGGCGGTAGTTCAACAATCGCAACTAATCTTCAAAACCTACTCTTTTCAAACATTGTCGCAATGATGCGCTTACTTCTTTGGATATATATGGGACACAAAATGTGACCTTTCTGGGCATATAGGAAACATCTTTCTGTACGCGATCTTTGGCCCTTTTCTTCGTTCTACCTGTATGCTGTCCGTATCCATCAGAGGCCGCTATTTTACGAGCAAGCGCTATCGATTCTGTCTTTTCTTTCGGACCACTACAGACTTGAGAGGCAGTGCGAAACATGTTATTGATAACTGCTCTCTTCGTCCATGGCGGATGGGCCGAAAGTGAATGGACAAGCATATTTTGTCGTGTGCGCACCATAACTAATATAAACCTGCACGTTCAAGAATGGTAACCACTGATCTTTCGGCTTCTCTCTTGTCAACTGTATAAAAATTGAGATTGCTCATTCAACAAATTGAAACACTTATCCATATCTTCCTGACAAGCATAGACTAAATAGCAATCGTCAATATAGCGGCAGTACAACAACGACCGACCTGGCACAGGCCCCTCAAGTTTTGCCAAGTAAGCTATCGCAAAAGTGGGAGCCAACCTTTGTCCCATGGCTAACCCTCTTTTCTGTGCATAATAGCTCCCGGACCACTTGAAAACGTTGCAAATCAGACATGCTTGCAAGAGAGTCATAACCTGCTGTACTGAGAATCCGGAGATTAATAAATTTTCGTTTTCTACAAGGAGCTCATGCACAGTCTGCAATGCAGATTCGTTTTGGACATTCGTGTAAAGTGCATCAAAAGATTCTATGACACACTCGCTATTTATGCATATTGCGCGGAAACGTTCCAGACATTTTCGTGTTGGCCAGATGAGAGGGGATGAATTTGAGTAGTAGCGTGAGTATCAGTGTAATGAACCACCCAATTCTATCCGTGGGTCCTCCTATGCAACTTATGATTGGTCTCACCTCAAAGTTAAAAGGACTAGTAGAGGCCAAATCGCTGTCGGAACCAAACTTATGCGTTTTCATTAATAAGTGCAAAACGGGGCAAACTGGTAGATCAATTTTGAGACCGCGATGACATCGTGTGACATATTCGCTGCTTTAGCTATCTCAATCCATTTCTTATTGAGCTCACGATACTGCTTCCGAAATTCGTCAACGGAAGCAGCGCGGTAAAGCGAAACGTTCTTTAGGTGTCGTTTTGTTATCGCAACGGAAAGAGGAAAACCTAGCAATTACGCATGAACTCTCGCCTTATCTAAATCAATTATTCTGATCTGGTGTATACAAATAGCGGTCTGCATACGCGTCTAACAAGTCCATCTTCCTCTAACAGTGGACAACGTGACCTCCACTTTCCTCTAGCAGAGTAGTATCGACGTATCCGGAAGGTACGTGCTCGAGTGCAGCTGAATCAGTGGTCGAAAACAAGGTTTAGCATTTCGCCTGTTCAGCTGTAAGGCTTGTTCGAATCGGCTGCGGATCATATTGTTCCTTACAGGCTCTGACGAAGGCGATCTGCCTAAACGTTAGCCGTAGATGAATAAATCAATTACCAATCTCGTGTATGGCTCAGAAAGAAAGAACAAAGATCAATATCATGCCGAGATTTATTGAACGTTGCACTATGCTAGTACCTTACCGTAATGGGCTTATCTGACATTGTTGACGAAATCGTGTTGCCAGGGTCGAGCAAGAGGCGTGGCACACAAGCGCCGGATACGACCCTCCTCCCATCTGTCTCAATGTCCTCTCCCCCCTCCCCCACCCCGCCCCAACATCACCAGGAACGATATCCACGAGAGTCCCCGCAAAATGGGCTTTTCGTGCGAATAAAATGGACTTAGTCCATGCGTTGCGATAAGATATCGCATTCGCGAATCCATTCATTCTATACAAAATTTCTTCAGCAAACCTTTCTTCAACTTGTCTCAACCTGTTTGCTCACTCTTGCAAACTCATTTCCACCAAGTGGTCGGTATCTAATTAGGCTGAGCTAACATTGAGTGACAGTCACATGGATATTTTATTCTTTTCCGCTTCTTTACACCTCACAAAATGCCATCTATTATCGATGACTATGCATCTAAATCACGTTCAAAACTAAAATTAATGCAAAATCCGGCTCTTGGCCTTTCAAAACTTCTATGAATCTGCTTGAGTCAAATTCGTAGGTAGAGCTTTTTGCAGAAAACAATATTTGGCTAGACTAGACTTTCACTGAAGTCTGTGAATTATAATGCTTACCTTATAGGAAACCTTGTACTACACTACAACCCAAAAGATTTTTCAAGTCGGAAAAACTACGAATCTGCAAGATGACTTCACAAATGTTCTACTTTAGCTCTTCTTTCCCTTTTAGCACGAATGTTTATATCTCTAAATAGTTGAATGTATGGGCTATTGCTAGTAAGAAATTTTTCACAGAAATTTTATTGCTAGCTGGCGCCATTTTAGTAACTTGCAACCAAACTCAAAATCGCGTTCAAAATGCCGTCTTTTAGGTTCGGTTCTGCGAGATTAGTCAAAAGATAGTTTCTGAGTAATTATATTGAAACGCAGATCTTTTTTATTTTCAGATACAAATCATGAATTTAGTTTTGGTCAATGATTTGAAGAGTTAACAAACTTTATTTGATTTACATATGAATTTTCGCATCGACCTAATAATATTTGGAAGTATTTGAGTTTGTTAGCGAATATTTTGGTGAATTTAACCTTCTTCCATGATTTTTTATAGCGTTTGTATGAGTTTAGAAAGAAACACTTATTTCAGACTTCATAAAAGACAGGAAACTTTTTCCACTCACTTGTTACCTTAGAATGAGCTGAGCAACACATTCTCAAAACGCCATCAAAAATGTGCAAAAAGGTCAAAAATGGGATTAGTCCCAGCTCACCATGCTGCTGGAGTAAAATGGGCTTTCAAGTCCATTTGAAATGGAGGTAAATCCCATTTTGCCCCATTCTAAATGGACTTTTCGCATGATTCTTTCGCAAGCGAGAGCTCAAGTAGGGTTGAATCATATTCATCACACCGCTTTGCCTCGTGGTTGCGATGGGATAAAAAATTTTGGATAACGCGAGCGAAGGCAGATTCCAACCACTCTCCACCGCGAACGAATAAAATGGGGCTTGAAAGTCCATTTTCCTCCATTATGGACTTTCGTGGATATCATTCCAGGATCATCGTTTGCCTCCTGTAGCATGACATAAAGGTTCTACCATGCATCATTAGGCACATATTCGTAATTATCATGTCAAATAACCACCATAGGCCAAGTTTTAGCAAATTCTGAGGGTTTCCGACATTGGACAAAGTAAGTTGTCATTTTCACATGACTACTATATGTCAAAGTGGATGAATTCTTTTTGCACTCACTGCAAAGCACTACCCTCTTGTTACCCATATCGTGAATTTTGCTTCAAATAACCATCAAACTATGGAATTAGAAGCAATCCAAAAACTCGCTTACCCCATTTTTCGATTTTAATGACTACGCTTTCACCAGCTTTTACTCAGAGCAGAGAAGGTGGACCAAGCCGAAATTACTCTTGCGATAACTACGAGGCTGAGGCTGTCAAACTATATGCATTTTGTTCGCTGAAACTCTTTTCGGAGGTAAGTTGATGGGGTGTGGCATAACCTCTAAAAAGCTGTGGCTGCCACAGTTTTTAGGGGTTGTGCCACACCCCATTAACTCTTACCTTCAAAGCATTCAAATCTCCGTCTTTTTTATACGGTTGCTACTGTTAAGCCGTCTTCTTCACATAGCAGGAATATTCGAAATTGTTTTTCTTCGAAAAAGATATAGTCTTTCCTTAGCTATGCAAATGGGAAACACTGCGAAAATACTGGACTACGGTAATATGCTAAGTCTGCATTACTACGTGAATCGCAAAGGAAGGCGGCAAGGACAAGTATATTTGATAGTTTGATCCTCGTAACTTTCACAAAAGTGAGTTGAGCCTGTTTGGTCTTCTATTCTGAGAAATTGAAACGAAAAATGGAACAAACGAGATTTTGGCGTGCTCTTAATTCCAGATTTCGAAGGTTATTTGCAGTGGGATTCAATGTGAGCAAAGAGTAGTACTTTGTAATGAGTGCAAAAAGAAGTAGTTTATCCACATTTGAAACAATGTTAAAATGTTCGAAAATGACAACCCCACTTTAGCTCCCCAATATTTGAACTCGAAATCCGCTGAAACTTGGCCCACAGGAGTAATTACCATAATTCCAAAATGATGCTGTTATGCTTTTGGGATTATTTTACTATGCTTAATTTACGTGTACGATGGTAGGCAAGAACACCAGTGCTAGTATCTTGCACAATGGGCCTATCAACATTGTTGACTGACATTATGTCGCTAACATCACTCACCTCGATAACGACCCCTTCCCTCTTCCTGACCTTCTCTATGACCCTTCAGGTGTGGAGTGGCACACCACACGCTTGACCTTGGTAACGGCCCCCCATCCCTGATCCCCTTATACGACTCCCAGACGTGGTATGCCACACCTCAAGCTTGACCCTGATCACGACTCAACGTCTATGTGAAATTTCCCCAAGCGCTTCACTCCGCGACGTTCACCACTCCAAAAGCCTACTACGGTTCTCACTCTGGCGCGATGTTAGTCATGCTATCGAGTCATGCACTCAGACAATCGCCGGAGCAGGCGGGCGCCGGAAAATACGCGTGCTGAAATTTCGCATTCCGTTCGCAAGTTCCAGAAAAATCGTCAGTGAGTTTTAAAGAGACCATCTGCTGATTTTTTTTCGCTCTTTTGCAATTCTAATTCTCAACACCATCGCCTCTACATTATTTACCTACGTCATCATCGAATGCATTCGGCATCTTTCCCAGAAGTCACATTTCCAACAACGTTGGCCTTTATTAGCAACCCATGAGCTTTACCATTTTCCCGAAATTATATAAGAACTCTATTAGATTTGTGCCTTGGATACGATTCGAAAGTGAGAGCAAATGTGAAGTCATTCTTGCCTTTTTCTTCCACCCCGTTTTGAATTTAATCGCCTGTTTGTATTTCATTTTTGAGGTGTTGCATCGTTTACGATGTATTTAATAAATAAATAAATTAATAAATAAATATACTGCTGAATATTTGAGGAATCGAGAATTCAGCAAGCGGCCTTCCAAAAAGTCCTGATGTTTTCCAAAAAATCCGCAAGCGGGGTGCAAGAAATCAGTCATCTATCTATCCGGGCCCGCCTGCCCTCGGCGATTGTCTGGGCATTTGACCCCCCCCCCCTACCTTCTTGATCTGCCGCCATGCCACTTAGCACCTTAGAGGTTTTAGGCAAGGGGCATACCTCACGCGATTTCAGTCGCCACGCGATCTGGCAATTTGCCAGATGTCTTCAAATTCAATACTGTTAGACCCCAAATGCACAGCATGTATAACTTTCGTAGGTTGATAAAATGCTCCATCTTCCGTACATTCAGAAACCCCGTACGATGAGTTATGAACATTTGGAGTACTGCCAAGTCGCGTGAAGTATGCCCGAGGCCTTAGGGAGAATATTTTTGAAAAACCCGGCGTGCGCGGCCGCCCTGCGCAGCGTGAGTCCTGAATTGTGGCCTGCGGCAGGCTAAAATCTTGGCAAAACTTAACTTCATGTTTCAAGGCTAGCAACTACCACGTTTGACTGGGTATGTTGTTATACGTTGCCGATATATTACCATGCGTTCCGCAGATGAAAACGCAGAGCAGGGCTAACTGCAATCGTAGAGTGAATGGTACTAGGAAAACACGAGTCACTAAAGGAAACAAGTGACTTTAGATTTTATGGACAGATTTGAGTGTTAAAAGTTGAACAACATAAACACCGTATTGCATAATAAGCATAGTGTCAACAACAGAAAGTGTCATCGTACGAACTTCCAGACCACTGTACCACAGATCAGAGATGCAAAAAAGTTCATATCAGAGATAAAATGCAAAAAATACATCCGAAAGGTAGGAACGAGCTGATAGCTTTGGAGTAGCAGGCAGAGCAACCTTTGAACATCTAATAAAAAACATTAATTGTGTCCCGTAAAAACCGTATCAAGCCGCATTCGATGAAGAATTTCTTCCCCTTTCCAGTTGCTATATGCTCAGCTTGGTTCGCTGAGAGAGGCTTAAGATGATTGCTGGACATCGCAACCCTTCTTTTTTGTGATGTTTGGTTTTCGCCAATTTTCAGAATTTTCAAGTGAAACTTTTGGGGACGCTTCAATAGCCATTTAAGACAAATCTTTTGCCAACTGAAGCGATTTTTGTAGCTTTATGGTTTGTCTTCCAGATTTGAAATTTATCCGTCGAAGCGACCAGATTCTATATTTGCTCTCTTCTAACCTCTGAACGCGAAATAGCAAATAGTTCAGGTACCCAATGATGCACCTTTCCGCCTCTTTCTAATAGTTTCTTCTCTTGGCGAGGCAGGGGAAGTATAGTATTTTTCATCATATTTTCAAACGGAAATCGCTCATTCACTTCGTAATGCTAGTGTTAGTGATAGTAATATCGAATGTGGAAACGCCACTTTTCTGAAGATTTTGCTGTGTTTGGTGCTATAACAGGTCATGCTATTTTTCAAAACACAAAACTTTTGTAGTTTAGCAAATTTGAGAAAAAAAGAAAGAAATTTTTTTGCCGGGCAAACGTTCGCCCTATCTGCTTACTATTAAAGCACCGTTAAAAGTTTCAACAAAAATTTTGAAATTTAGTGAAAGTTGGACATGATGAAAACAAGGATTGTAAAATCAGTAATTATCTACTCTCTCAATAATTTACGCCAGGATTATAGCGGTTCGAAAGAGGAGGAAACCTCGCATCAAAAACAGTTTGTGTTGTTTATCTTTACTTGAGCACTCAAAAAACTGACAAAACTTTTGCACTTTTGCACCTAGCATGTTCAATCAAATAAAAAGGTTTCAAATTTTTTGTTTTGAAACCCTCAAATTGAACGCACCACTCGAGCCTCTACCCCCATTAGAATAACATCTTTCGGCTCCGTACAGGCTGCTTCTTCATATATCGCCATCAACAGGCAGGTTGTTGCCTGAAGTAATATCCGCAACAGAAGTAAGTTGTTGGTAAGTGGTTTAACTAGTGCATGCTTGGCACATTGCTAGTTCACAATACTGGCTTTGCGACCAAGGCCCGTATGCACGTATATCCCCGCTAGGGAGGGGAGGGGATCTGAGAGGGGATGCGTCATATCTCGCTACTCTGGGTGTCTTTCTTCTTCCTTCTCTATCTTGCTTATGAAGGTTCTCATACCCTAATATCTGCACATAAATCATGCCAGGATACTGGCATAATTGATTAGATTTTCACTATTTTGTGTGATCCCCTGGGAATCCCCTGCTGATCCCCAGGGGATCACCTCTCATTTTCAAAGTGATTTATCTTCCTGAAAACTCATTGAAAATGCTGTAAAAGTGTACCGTGGTTATACTACGGCACTACTAAAGACGTTCATAGTAGAAATAAGTGAAATCTCTAGATATCAAAATCTTCGATGAACCGCTGCTCGCGAGCCAGGAATTATCGAAAAAATCAAAATCTTCAGATTCAATTTTTTCTGTCGAAAAATGCTCAGCAGTATCGTAGTATATCTTCAGTACAATTTTGCAGCGTTTTCATTCATTTTTCAGGAAGATAAACGACTTTGAAAATGTGAGATGATCCCCTGGGGATCCCCAGGGGATCGGAAGAAATAGTGAATATTTAATCTTGTATAGCAGTAACCTGGCATCTATTATGCGCAGTATAAAGGTATGAGAACCCTCATAAGCACGATAGAGAAGAAAGAAAAAAGATATCTAGAGCAGTGAAATATGATGCATCCCCTCTCAGATCCCCTCCCCTCCCCGCGGGGATGTACGTGCATATGGGCCCAAGTGTCTCCAACAGACCTTGAAAAGAGACCGGTGTTCCTGAATGTAGCGCGCAAGGACAAATCTATTGCTTTTGGCAGAAGATAAATAAGGCTGTACTGCTCTCAATCACATGACTGTGTGCAAGTGATTCAAGGTTGATAAATTTCCGTTTCTACAAGGCGGCTCAAATGGTCGGTAGAAATACTCACTAAGGGCCGCATGCATAAATAGTCTTCGCTGAAGAGGGCGCAGCTTAAAAAGTGCATTCATAATCCAATCAAGGATCTGGAATTTATGATGACCATCCATTCTTGAGTATTTGCACTGCCCTTCAATACAGACACATAAACGGTAGCGCCGTTTTTTTGCATAACTGTAATGATAGCTAACGGCCGATCTCTTCAATTCAAAGTCATTTTTCTATCGTTTAATTTAGGTAACTTCTGGAAGCTTCAGCTCAGCAAATTTGTTAGTGATTAAAGGGTTGTGTATTCCACGACTTCGCAAAAAACGGTTTTCGGAAAAATTATTTCGAGAAATACTGTATAGCTAGTAGAAGAGGCCAAAATATTGGGCTGAACGGTAAAAAAAATGGGGCAGCTTGATTTTCATTACATTTCGAGATTTTTTGTTCCCTCCCGCAACAAGTAGGATGCAACTCAAATGTCGCTTACATAACCAACCTTCGCATTATTCTGGCAGCGCTTACCGCTCTTCCTCCATAACCGTATGCGTGGCGCCACGAAGAACTCGGACAGGGTTTTTTGGACATCTCTCAATCTTGCGCTGCTATACCGTAAAGTCGTAGAGCAAATGACTCATTATTCGAAAAAGCTCTTCATACTTCGAACTATAAATTAATACATGGGATTTCTTTTCAATTTTAGAAAAAAAACGAAGAAACTTGTAAAATGGCGACATCTGAATTAAATCTTAATTATAAAAAATGAATTCAATATTAATCTTAATCATCTTAATTATCTGACAAAAAATGACATATTCTAACATCTGTCATAATTGGAAAGTTTAATTACTTCTCTTTCTTGAGAAACCTTCAGTTATTTTGTGAGTGCCCCATTTCCTACCGTTCACCCCAATAGTTGATTGTATTGCATTTCGTTCGTTCTATCCAACTGCTGTCAAAGCTATTCTAGTGAAAATGGGATTTAAAAAATAGCGTATCAGGAGGGATAAAAAAATCATGGTTTGGAGATTCGGACGACTATTCGAGCGGATATCAAAGGACTCTGAACAAAGTCATCATTAGAAAGATTAAGAACTTCCGCATTGAACACTGTTTAGAGCGTCTGTGTATCTTTATTCAAAATGGTATGAGCATGGGTCTGAGGAACGGCACGGACTTTCGAACCGACTTAATATTAGAGTGATTTTGAAACAACAGTTCTTCGCAATCATCGCTTTCAGGGCGCAACTTTTCAAAGCCTTTTTTTAGGTAGACATGCGAGTTTTTCCGACAGTTATGTTAAAATAATCCGAAACTCTGTCCCTATCCCTTGATCCCTCAGAATAAAGATAGGAGAACACGTCGAACAATCTTGAAAGAACTTCTTCCGCCTTCGAAAAATTATGGTTTCAAAGTGACTCTTTAAACGAACGCTAAAATAATCCCCAAAGCAACTTTCCTTACCTAGATTCAGCTAATATTCTGAATTTTCATCTTACAGCTCTGACAAAGACCAGAAAAAAAAATAGAGAACCTTTTTTCGATATGATATTTTGCATTTTTCCAGCAGACTTAATAAGATTCAAACGAAAATCCATAGAATGGCCAAATTCCAAAGTTAATGAAATCAATTAATGGTACATCAAAAAAGCAGAGCGGGCATCATTCAATACAGTTTTTTTTCTCCTTTTTCTACCACATGTGTTTCTTTCCTGTTTGAAGGATCTTTGGTGATAAAATCAACTAATACTTTGAAGCCAGTCGGAGAAGCAGAAAAGGATGTACAGCATTTTGTTCTTTGTACTTGTCTGCTGTCGAATCTCTTTCAAAAATTTGAAATAAAATTTCAGAAAACCTGACAGTTGGACAGGAGTGACCATGAGTTCGCAACTTAACAATACGAGCGACTGCAAAAGCAAATGAGATAGGAGACCAGTAAAAAGAGGAGAAATCTTAGTCGAATAATGCTTTTGCCTATCTTTATTCCAGATTTTTTTATGATAGGTCGAAAAAGGGCACAAAGGACCAGCCTGATGTTAGATTGAACCGAAAGTTTGTTGGCATATTTTTGAAAATTAGTTGCCCAGGTTTGATTTTATCTAGAAGAGGAAATTATGCGCTCACTATTACATTTGAAAGACTTTCTAACGCGCAAGTATTGCATAGAAGCTGTAAAGAAGAATTAGTCAAATTTGATTTTCATGAATAAGGCTGCCGAAAAGCTGATGCACTTAAAACTGGAGTTGTCGCTATTGTGAGTTTCAAAACCTCCTTCTGATCGTAAGAAAATTTTGTGCTAATTGAGAGTTTCTATCAAAAATTGTAATTTCTGAGAAAAATGCCAAAATGAGCAAATCCAATTTGTAGTGCGGCTCGAAAATTACAGATTTTCGTTGAAAAAACATTCAATACATTTTGCTCAGATGGAAAGAGCAGTCATAAAGCTCATTCCATTAGTTGATCTGTAGTGCAAGTTTCAGATTTTTGGGGATCCCGCACAAAAAAATCAAATTTTTCTAACTTCGCGATATTTGCGTGTTAGAGTTTTGCGGAAGCTAATGTAAGGGGCATGATTTCCTTTTCTAGATGAAATCAATTTTTTAGGCAATTTTTGAAACAGTAAGAAATTATGTTTTGAAAATGGTGCGAACGGACTTTCGGTTCAAATTGATATTATCAACAATAGTCATAACGGTAAAATCAAATTCAATATTTCCTACAATTCCAAAACTTTGAAATTCTTATTGAAACAAAAATTCGATACCTTCTAACTTCATCTAGTAATTTCATCGACCTTGGGAGAAGAGACTCAGCTGGGTGCCGGCTCAGGAGTACAGAAGGGAGGGGGGGGGGGGGAGAAAAACATTCATCCTATCGCATGCATGCTTCTGACCTATACTCCCTAGGCGTGGTTGCAATTTCATAATGATCAAACCAGCCCGTCTTGCCCTACTGACTTTGTTTCTCATTTCACTATTTAAGAAATTTAGCATCACTTTTGATTGATAATTCTAACAGAACATGGGATTTCAGCTCTTGTTACCTCAGATCCGGAACCCTGCTCACCAATCAAATGACCTTTTATTTGGAGTGCAGCCAGCTCCATAGACTCGCTGACACATGAGGAAACAAAACCTCCAAAGTCTATCTTTTCTTCCTTCTGCGTTCTATAGTTCGTGGTTCAAATTTCTTTTGTGCCGTACAGGTTTGAGAAGTGGTCTTTATTTCTTCCAGTCACGGCCTTACGTTTCGACGCCTTTTTATCAGAGGCCTGAATGGTTCTAAGTGTCATCCGTAATTCCAGACCACCAAGCGTTTCCTCCAACTCTGCTAATTTTCGACCTTCTCACAATCTCGCTATCAAGTAAAATGTCATTGTAGAAGAGGACATACCGGAAGACCACTGCAACTCGAGTAGTCTGTGACTATGAATGCTGGCACCATTCCTAGATTGTCGAGTGTTGGTACTATGAATGCTGGCACCACTCGATAATCTAGGAATGGTGCCAGCATTCATAGTACCAAAAGCTCCCACTTTGCCTTCCCTTCATCTCAGATAAGATTACCGCGGCGTTGCAGCAATGCATTTTTCGAGCCCAGTTGCAAGATGATGTTGTTTTAGTTAACATCCCCAATGACAATATCAAAAAGCAGCTAGTCCGAAATAGGCTCTACGACTGATACTGTACAACAGAGCAATGCATAGATGGGCCCGCACGGTAGAGTTGGGGACTGTGCAAAAGTGGGAGTCGTTTATCAAATTGAATGCCTTGACTGCAAAGCAATATACATAGGGGGGACGGGTAGAGTTTTGGGTATTTCGCATGAAAGAACACTTGGCCGATAAAAGGCGCAGAAATTTGGGCTCGGCGCTCGGCAGGCATAGAGACGCGCAGCACGGTGGAGAAGACTTCAATGTCAATTGCAAAATTCTTGCGTATGAAACAGAGATCTCGGCTAGAAAAGCTTTGGAAGCATTCTGGATTACTACCAAGAATCCTGAGATGAACAATAAGAACGAGTGTTTATCAATAACTAGTGACTTCCTCCCGTTCGTATCATTATGTGATCTATAACTGTAGACCATCTCGGTGTATCTACAGTATGATTCACTCGTCTGCCGCGACTGCCTATTTCCGGTGCAGACTACTCGAGTTGCAGTGGTCTTTCGGTATGTCCTCTACAATGACATTTTATTTGATAGCGAGATTGTGAGAAGGTCGAAAACTAGCAGAGTTGGAGGAAACGCTTGGTGGTCTGGAATTACGGATGACACTTAGAACCATTCAGGCCTCTGAGGAAGACGAAAGGCGTCGAAACGTAAGGCCGTGATTGGAAGAAATAAAGACTACTTCTCAAACCTGTACGGCACAAAAGAAATTCGAACTTACGACACATGCCCAGGTTTCATGAAAAGGGGACTTGGAAGCTACCAGTTCGTGGTTCATTTTGCGCAATCACACACATCTTCCAGAGGCTAGGACTGGCTGGTGTCATGCTTTGAGATTTTTTCTAATTTTTACCTTTGATGCCACCTTGTGTTTATATTACCCCCAACTCTATACATATAGAGCAGAAATTCGGTGTGCGACGTCAAGTGTATGTTTGTAGACTTCTTTCACAGTGAACCAATTGAGGTAAAACTTTGCACACTTATGTCTTCTTTTTGAGCCGATTTCGTGGGCCCTTCTGTGGATCTATTGATTTCTGGCCCTTTGCAACGAAGTTTTTACCAACAGCCAACAAGTCATTTTCACGGTTTCGCGTGATCAACAGCAGTAAAGCCCATTTCAATGCGCGGTGAGAAAAATGCGATGATTTGCGGAAGATCGTGAATCGCAAATGCAGTATGATGTTAACCGGAGGCTGTCGGAGTATCCTCAATGGGGCAGCAAATTGTTAGATACGAAATTTCGCTCCTGTGCTTTTGGGAGGTCAAGGGATAGGTGGTGAGCAGACATAGCATGGAATTTTGTTTGCCATCAAGAATTGCGTTACTGTAACTAAGCAATGAAGTATTGGTTCGTATAGCATCAGTGCGACTTGAACGGTAAAGACTTCACAGAAGAGAACTAACTGAAGGTCATCATTTTTGTCTGGTGGCTTCCATATTAGCGATAGTTGATGCAGAGTAATATTTTTCAAAAATAGTCCGTCTTGAAAAAACAAATGTTGGTGCTGCTACCTTTTCTTGGCGCTATTTTCCGGAAATTAAGCAAAAAGCAGTTTCGGTTGAGGTCCTTCACATGTTTCCAAGTCAAGTAAATTTATCTTCCTTGGAAAGTTTGAAAGGATATCATTTCACATGGCAAAAGTCTTTGAATAAGTTTGGCATCAGCGTATGTAAAGCAGCAATGTGCTACAGGATTTGACCATTTGTATGTGTCATCGTGATACACAGACTTCCACACATGCAAAATCAGTTAATCATACCGAGGAATTTTTAACTATCTGATCTCATGCTTGATCTTGCAGCCTTTTTCAAGCGGAACAATAGATATTCAATACAGGCAGATATTCGACTTACCTTCTGCTCCGTAACGACATCACCGCGTTTATGGAAACAGTAATTCGCAAAAGCTGCCTGTATGGTGAACACCGCTGGAATGCGAACAAGCCCTGCAACAGAAGTCTATTCTCAAAAACTTTCTTTTCTGTTTTTCTTTTTGCTTAAACAACTCAAATATTAGTAATTCTGGAAGTTCGTTCCGTTTTTTCCGGTAGCATAAAAAAGCGTGTGATAAAGATAAGCAAACATCATTGCCTTTACGAATCGATTCTGTTTCGAATCGATTCAAGTGACGATGACCAAGATTGGCCACTTTAGTTGAAATGTTAGAGGCCCGGTAAGGTAGGATGCGGTTGCGTCTTGCATAATTGTAGGCTACGCAGTCACTTCTTAAGACCACTTGTTTCTATGAATACTAAGATAGCCGCAGAAGTTTTGAACTTGTGGTTATTACCATGCCCAAGTGTACTTTTTCACATCTTTCACCAATTTCTGGAGGAGTTTACATAACAGTTAAATAGAGCAAACAAAGTGCTACAATTGAAATTTTTTTGGCTCCGGGTGGCCTTTCAAACTAGCAAATTTGATATTCTGAAGTCAACATTTTCCTTATCTGATTAAGTCAAACCTCGCGGAATATCAACCGGAAAGCAACGGGCACTGTTCGGTGCATTCGTTTTCTTCCCAATTTGTGGAACTTTCGGGGGAAACATTCAAACGGCGAACTTTTGGACGCGCCTTTGGCTGTACCCGAAATTTCAAAATTTCAATATTTCTAAGAAGAAAAACTTGTTGGCTTTGTAAAAATAGTTTTGAATATTGAGATTTAAAACTTCGAATTGTGAGATTTCTCAGTGTCTCTCATAAATCTAGATTAGAACGAGGAAGGAAAGCTGCATTGAATGCTCCCCAAAGTGTTTGCCTTTTTTATTTTACGTGATTTTATGAAAGGTCGAAAAACGAAAAAAAACTTCGGAAGACTTAATAAAACATACCTGTGATTTTGCGCCATTGTAAGTCATAAGCGAAGGGGTTACTAATTAAGCATGTGCTTTGACGATGACAGTGTATGGTCATAAGAATAGCAAGCCGGTGTTTATTCTCTCAAATTACTTCGATGTTACACCTTACTGCTGTTACCTATGTTACCCGTTTTTACCAATACTCTATCTCAGACAATCGCGGTTGAATCTCGCGGAAGACGAACTCATAAATTCGCGAGAAAGGCATCATCCTGCGAAACACACGGTATCCTTACAACTTTCGGTAATACATTCATTCACTCCTCCTGCCATCAAAATGACGCTCGTTTTTCCAGAAAATGATGCACAAGAACGACGAACGCTAGTTATCATGATATGCGCATGATGCCTCCATTTCACTTAAAGGCAGTAGGTCGGCAGAATGAGACCCGTTGCAAAACAAAGTCACAGCGTAGGAGCCCTCATAATGGAACCTATGGGCCAAAGTTCGATCTTTCTCTGCCACTTCTAGCCCCCGAAATTTCAAAGCGAAAGCAGCGCTCATCTCCTGTCCTCTCCGAACCCGCCCACCCCATGGACGAGTAAACGCGAAGCCCGTCATGGCGAAGACGCAGAGTCGTTGCGGGACCTCATGCTTATAGCGTTGCGGCTGGCGCTCTGACCGTGGAAGTCACTCGTCCATGGGGTGGGCGGGTTCGGAGAGGACAGGAATGAACGCTGCTTTCGCTTTGAAATTTCGGGGGTTAGAAGTGGCAGGGAAAAATCGGACTTTGGCCGATAGGTTCCATTATGGGGCTCCTACCCTGTGACCTTGTTTTGCCACGGGTCTCAAACTGCCGACCCACTGCCTTTAAAGGCAGTGTCCCGCCAGATTGGCACTCTGAGGCATATTGCTACGGAGGGTTCCTGTGGCCGTATTCATCAACGAACCCTGAGGGTTAAGCTTACCCTCCAGGGTTAGTTTAACCCTCAGGGTTCATTGGCCGTATTCATCAACCATAGGCTAGGGCTTACCACGGAACGCAATCCACCCGTATCGATCAACGAACCTGTGGCCGTATTCCGAACCCTGAGGGTTAAATTAACCCTGGAGGGTTAAGGCGTCAATTACGCGTGCGCTGTGCAAACTCACATCACAAAATGCCTAAGTACAGGCTAAATTCACTTTATACTTCTATTCTTTCACCTATAGTAGTATAGTCAACGAATAAGCTTCTAACACTAATTTTTATAATACATCTCTAGCATACTTGTGCAGCATCCAATCTTACAGCGTGAATTTATTTTCATGTGTGCAATTGTGCAGTGTAAGTTCTACTTTTGCGCAGTTCGTTTTATACCGGGCTTGTGCTACTCTTTTAGGGGTCAATGTTATTAAAAAGGGGTTCTTCTGTTTTGGCACTTGTCAGAGTGGAATGCCATTTTTCTTCGTCGCATTCATTTGTCACCAAAGCTAGAATTCTTTTTCTCGCGAAGTCAGGGTTTCATGTGCTTCGAATATGAACATAAAACGAAGTCGAAACTAAATACTATAACAACGACCAATACTGAATACTACAATACTCGTTGATCGTTTTCCATAAACTATTAGATGCGAGTAAATGTTTGTATGAAGCGTTAGGGTAGAGTTAACCTTGCTCTGAGCTAGGGTTAAATTAACCCTGATGAATCACGTAAGTTAAACCCTCCAGGGTCAGTTTAACCCTCATGGTTCGTTGATGAATACGGGTTAGTCGCTTTCGGGGTAAAATTAACCCTCAAGGTTAGATTTAACCCTCAGGGTTAAGCCTACCCTGTGTTTCATGAATACGGGTTAAACGCTTTCCAGGGTTAAACTAACCCTCCAGGGTTAGTTTAACCCTCGGGGTTCGTTGATGAATACGGCCACTGGTCATTTCTTGACGTCCAGGCGCAGTCTGACTAGTTGATGTTCTCCCTTGGCTTAGAACATAGCCCTTGAACCGGCGCGCGCTTGGACGACTTCGCTTGCCGTTCGGCGAAGGACCCCAAGACCGCTCTCCCGCATTGTGCATGCTATCCAAAGCAAAAATTACAGGCAGCAGGGTTTTCGTGCCAGGGCCTCCCTTTCATTAAAATTCTCGTCCGAGCTGCCTTTTGGAAATTGGGTAAAGCCCCAAGAAAGCTCTTTTCACCCGTTTCAAACCTCAAATTCGGGGTCTACAGGTTAAAAAGGCTCAAAACATGCAAAAAGATGGAAATGAAAAATCTGCTGGGACACAGCCTTCAATGCCTTATTGTTTTGAAAAATAATTGGTCCCTTGCGTCCAAACCATACACATGTCAAGGAGAATTTTGTAGCCGCATTTCCAGAATTCTGTATTTAAATGAAATCCACAAAAGTTATGTAAGATGAAGAATTTATGCGAGACTTGCGGGAAAAGAAAATATTATAACTCCGTTTTGTAAACCACCTCAAGTGGCTCTTAAAGGCAGCGTCCAGGCAGATTTGGACCTATGGGGATTTTACGTAGAAAGTAATTTTGGGGCTCTAGTTGGGGCACTGCTCAAGCGGCAGCGCAGGTGACGCACTAACGGCTGAGATATACGCCTCCAAACTGTGCCCCATAGTCGTATTTGCATGGACTCATGGCAGTTTCGCGCGAGGATCCACGCGTTGCGCCATGAATCCATGCGAAATACGATTCTGGGGTCTAGTGAAGGAAATATCTCAGCAGTTAGAGCACTACCTGAGCTGCCAGTTGGGCAGTGGCTTCTTAGGTAGGGCCCCAAATTTACTATCCACGTGAGATCCCCATATGTCCAGACGTTCCTGGACGCTAGCTTCAATATTCTAAAACATCTAAGTGCGAAAAAAGTTTGGCACTCCTTCGATCACTTTTTATTTTTCGGACGTAATTCCACCTCCAATTTGCATCTGACAAGAAAAGGATACTTGGTCGAAGGTTTTCATAGGAATGTGTACTATCTTATGGAGCATGGAACGCCCATTCCGAATTCTGCTTTCGTATCTGTAAAGCACTTCTGGGAAGGGAGTTAAAGGAATTTTCTTGACGCAAAAATTTCGAGACGCAGCTGCAATAAAATCATTCAGAACTGTAGTCTGGGAACTTGGAGAGAATCATGGTCACCAGTATGGCACCTCATGTAGTTAAATTTAATAAATTCGAGTTAGTCTTTACTCCATTCAAGCGCCAGAAAGACCTCAGCACTCGTTTTTACTTGACCAAGACCTTGAATTTTTGTCTTAAAAAACTCTCATAACTCCCACCTCAAAAGCGCTTTGAGATACCAAAAGCAGATTTGGATCAGCGTTCCATGCTCTATAAGACAGTACACATATACTTCAATTAATTATCCTTCCCTTGTAAGTACTAATCATCTCGTTTAAATTGTGAACAAGTCTTGATTCAAACCGATGCACAGTTTTGAGTTCCAGCGCTCACAGTGAGAGCATATAGTAGCAAGAAAATTTTGGTTCTGCAGAAGATAGGATTGACAAAGTAGTTAGCAGGGAAATGTTGGTTCCGCAGAAAATAGAATTGACAAAGTAGTACCAGCTTTTGCGACGTCACAGTAAGACGCGAAGGCGGAATGGATGGATGATTGCGGAGAGGGGCGGAAAAGCTGGGAATGTATAATACGACTCATTCGGCAATAGACACCGGATAAGTTTTGTTTGAAAGCGGGAAGGGTTAAGGGACAGATTTACGTGGCTCAGCCCGTCCGCAAAAAAGATATACTTTTTGTGAAGCTTTTCCGTTATCAGGACCCATTTCCTCAAAGAAGGATACTCCTTCCTTCCTCATACCATATTTGATTCCACCTTTACAGGAAGGAGTGTCAACCTTCTGCCACGTGTCAAAAAAATTTGACATGTATTCTACATGTCTAACAAGTTTCACCATGAGTTTGAGTTGGCTTACCTAGAGACGTAAGTTCGATCTGTTTCCTAGTCAATGTGGCCCCATTATCGATTGAACAGTATCAAAAATGAACATTGTTATCATAAAACGTCATCCTGTTATCAATGAACACACTAGACCAATACAAAAGCACGTGTGAATCCGTTGTGTGGAACCCTCAAAAAAGGCGCGTCAATCGGATCCACATTGCTTTCTGCCACTAAAATTGAGTCTGTAGCACAACTTTTTGCAGTCGCTTTTATGTTTGACGAGTTAATTTGCAAGCCATGGCCTTTAGCCAAAAAACTGAACTAAAGTTTATTACTTTGCAAACACGGCATCAGAAAGGATTGGTTGCTAAATGTTCAATTTGCCAAGATCTTACCCAATCATTTGAGAAGATTTCTGCACAGAGTTGTAGCCCACGGTGATTATTGTATCTTATGGCGAAATCCAAGCCATGAAAATTCCAAAAACCGATTCAAATTTGCATTTGCTCTTTTGAGAAAAGTTTTATTCAAATGGAGTTACCGATCTTATAGGGAAAAGCTTTTGGAATGAATAGTTGTTTACAAATCATTCGTGATAGTCGGCATAGCGCGGTGAGTTTCAATGTCTTTATGGTGCGGGAATGAGTAAGGCGTGCAGGCAGTAGGACCAGTGAGCCTCTGCGAAGCAGAGGTGACAGACTGGTCATTTAATGGCATGGCGAAATGTTTGAAGAGAAAGTCGCTTTCGGAAGCAATAAAAACTGCTTTTAGGTGATCACAAATGTTCTTTTACTTCACCGGAAATGATTTCGAAAAAAAAACATGTCAAAATGGACCGAAACGTATCAATATTTTCCTGACGCGTGGGAGGGAGGCAGCCTTCGTGGAATCTATGAAAAATGTCCTTAGACTTGAGAATCTGTTTTATGAGAGGCTTTTGAAAAAATGGGTCCGGATAAAAAGTTCTTTTTGTTTTTTAATTCTAAACGATATCGAAAATGAGCCAGCTGAGAGAATATGGAAAATAAGATATGTTAGAAAAATTCAGAGCTCATCAGAAGAGGGATAAAACTGCTACCAGAAGTGGTTAGGCTCCCGCCAGAGTGCCGAAGTTATGCCAGCGCTACGCCAGCATTTCGATCGGTACACGTGTATTTCGTTTGGGATGTCAGCTAGCCCCGCCCCAACGAAATACACGTGTATCGATCGAAATGCTGGCGTAGCGCTGGCATAACTTCGGCACTCTGGCGGGAGCCTTAGCAGGCATTAAATAAGAGCAGAGCTACAGCCACTTTAGAAGAAGAATTATATAGAGTAGCTAGTACTGTGTAGTTACAGGGCAACTAGGAAGCTCGCAATTTAGTCGCAATTCAATAGTTTTACGTAAACAAGCAGCATTTGCAGTTTCGGTTCATACTCTATCAAAGCACTTATACTGCTCAAAGAACTCCTTTTCCAGCGAGTGTTGATACAACTTTCATTCCCCGCTGACATGCGTTAAAGGCACCGGCCACCCAAAACGGAGCTGATGAGATTTTGATGTCTAACAGTAGTGGGGCCTCCAACTCTATTATACTTATCCAATCGCGCTGGCAAAAGTTGCTTCCGAAGCGAGAAAATTGCTTCAAAATTCGCTCGGATGGCAGATTCGCCACGTTGGCTCCTTCCCTTTGTGTGGGCATGACGTTCGTCCCGCCCATCCGTGCGCGCCCAACCAATCACGGTTCCGAAGAAATCGCTCTACGGGTTTTAAAAACGGGGGTTTTCGTGTTTTTCGCGGATTTTCGACTTCATATTCGGAATCAGGGGTATGAGAAGGCCCTGGAACTGCAAAAACATGGAGGTCGAAATTTTGGGTGGACGGTGCCTTCAAAGCCACGTCTCATTCATGCGATATGACTACAAATTCTACTCCCTTGTGGCTGATAGAAATTTTGATTTCTTCTTTAGCGCACCCGTCACGCAGATTACGTAAAACTCTGATTTGAGTGGGCGTCAAATTGCGAGGCAGGCGCTTTTAAGAATATCATGTGAGTTTTGCGAAAAGAGACGTTGTAAAAAGGCGAAATTTGGTGTCCATAACTGGGTTAGGTTCTTGAGTACTGACAAGAGCAGAGGTCTGTCAACCAAAGTATCACCATATAGTAAACTCTGAGTACAAAACAGACTTATTCAAAACTTATGAGAAAATTTACGTGCACTGTTGTTGAATGATTTTCCATTTCAGGGGGGCAGAGTACTTGGTCATACTTTCACGTCAGTCGCCACACTATCTGGAAATTTGCCAGATGTCTCCAAATTCAACAGTGACACACCGCAGATGCATAGCCCGTACATCTTTCGTGGACTGATCAGATGCCCTATTCTGTGCATAATTAAAGTGCGCACCGATCAGTTATGGGCAATTAGAGTGTTGCAGCGCGTCGCGACTGAAATCGCGTGAGGTATGGCTAAAGGCTATGGAAAAAGCTAGGCTTTCAAACATAAGTCTTTCACATAACCTTGCTGTTCCCCACTACCCATACACACCAAGAAGAAGCCATATTGTTACCATTGAGAACGAGAATTTCGCTGGCGAAATTTTAGAAAAAAAGCGGCGGCCTTCAATTACATGTTCTTTCAAAAGTACTCTGTACTATACTCCTTCTAGCCTTTTTCCCTTTACACTCCAAATCGGAGTCATATCGTTATAAAACGGCAATTAAATTCCACTAATGCAAGAGAAATCCAATCTTTGAAGATAAGGTGCAACCACAATCGCACGTCACTCGTGTAGCGACTTGTTGAGGCAGTGCGCATTTGCTTATGAACGTGTATTTACGATATCCCTCTTGCTTTCTTGCGATAAAACTACTTGCAGCTCGACATTTCTCCCTTTGTGCCGGGCCTTGACGTGGATTAGCAAAAAAATTCGCTCAGTTAGAAGGAGATGTTTGTAAATTACATGCTTCAGTCTATTTTGCATTTTGTTAGATAGTCAAATAATCTACCTCCATTTCATTTCTGAAATCAGAGTTTACAAGAAAAGCCTTTTTGGTCAAAGTGGCAGATGAGCTGTATGACGCTGAGATCAGATGATCGTTGAATTCAAAACCAATCATCACCTGCGAAACGCTTTTTTGAAGAAGGTATGGCTCCAGAATAAGATGTAAAAGCGTTACCTCTGAAAGGACCTGAAAATGCGACCCTTGTGCAAGAATGACCGCATTTGTGCTGCACCAACAAATTATGATAGTAAGAATGCTTTGCTCCTAGATTAAATGCTGTATTGACACGGTCACTTGTGAATTAGAATTTTTAAAAAAAGCGCTCCGCAGATAAGGACTTCTAACTTGATATTAGATTGCGTTCACGCTGATGCGGAAGTTCGGGAACAGCGCTCGAACTGGCGCCATGCTGGACTGTTCCCGAAGTTCCCGATCAGTATGAACACAGCCTTAGCTTTCATTACTGGTTCAGCAGCATACATCTTTCAAATGGCCTCTCCAGTTAAATGGCGCATTTTGTTAGTAGAAGCAGTCAAGCGCGGGTAAAGACGCATCCACTACTTTTTCTATCCGATTTGTACCCAAGCAAGAATCATTAAAACAACAAGATTTGAATCTTTAGAAAATGTGACAGAAATCGGTTTAACCTAATTTGGCCCTAAGCATAAAACTAATTGTTTCAACGAGCGGGGAGGGGCGGGGGAGGGGGGGGGGGGTGTTCGAAGCCTACACTTTCAATGCCAAAACGCATCGCGAGATAGAGATATGCAGGATTTCTTCTCTTCAAATTTGCAAGTATTGTCATTCAAGCTTTGCTCTTCAAAACGAATTACGGAGCGTCAATCGCTCGGCTCAGACAATTGCAAAATACAGTCGAGTAGATTTAGCGGTAAATATAGTGTGCTTGCACAGAAAGTGAAATGCTATAGAATTTGCGCGTGAAGAAATAGCTTCGACTGTGACGCCGGCCAATTGCGCGCGCAAGATGCCTGCAGTACTGGCGTGGCTACTTGTTCACGCGCAGATTTCACCCCATTTCACCTTCTGTGAAAGCACACTATATTTACCGCTAAATCTACTCGACTGTACTTCCGGGGAAAACTGGAGTTCTAAAACTTTCGGGGGAACACTTCTATTGGAGCTGCCAGGTAAGGCGCGGCTAGGTAGGGCGGGGCCCACCCACACGGCCCAATAGGAGGGCCCTCGGAAGTTTTGCAACTCAGTTTTTATTGAAAGTATTTTGCGATTGTCTGAGGGACAGGTCCAGCCAAGCTTCTCCTTCCAGCACAGCTGACTCAGGTGCAATTACCTCCTCAGCCTCAGGCCACGATATTTCACGCGACTTCATTCGCGACGCGATTTGGGCACAACACTTGTTTATAACTCATCGTAAGCGTGCAGCCTACATGTACAAAAAAAGGAGCATTTTGATAGTCTATGCACGACACACACTATGCATTCCTGTACTGCAAATTTTGGATACGAGAACATATGGCAAATGGCCAAATCGCGTCACAACGTAATTGCTTGAGGTATGCGGCTAAATCATACTTATGGCACGGATTCTTCTTTAACCTTTGCCACTTTTCGCAATCATCCGTCTTTGAAACGGATGGTTTTGAAAATCCATTTTTGGCTCTCTCCAGGGTAGGGGAACGAAAGCCGCCGGTTTGAGCTATCTTTCGCGACCAACTGGTCCTTTCGCAGTGTTGTTGCATGTCGTTCCAGGACCAGCAGTCCGCGAAGGCGGCCCAAACTGGCGGCTTTCGTTCCCCTACCCTTCTCTCCAAGGCCAAGGTCCATACATGCGATTAGCGTGATGATCCACGGATTAACCTTTGATTGAGCTTTTGTCGAGCCACTGCCTTTCGCGAATGTATGCATGAATGACTCACATTTGCTCAACATTGTTCGCGTAGCAGTTGCACAAAATGAAACTGACGTGAGTGGAGTTTCCTACAACTTTGTTTATCATTGGCCATTGTGCTGCAACATTAGCTGACTGACTGATACGCTACCATAAGCTTAAGACCTCGCGCACAGTGAACGCAACCATTGTGGCGATCCCACCGCCGGAGATCTCAATGATTTTCGGTAAACGCGACGACGAAATTGCTGGGCATCGTGGGCTGGGTTTATACCGATTTGGAAGTTCTAGAACAGTTCCAGCACAGTTCTGGCATTGTGCTGCAACCCGGAACTGTGCTGCATGCACTGCCTCCGCCCGCCGGTTTTAAGAGGCGCGAATTAGCAGTTTTTTGATTTCTTGTATGGTTTTGATCGAATATCCTTGCTCATTTTCGTCTCATTCTTGCATCTTGCTTCTTCTTGTAAGAAAGAGAATTTCGTTATCAAGCGAGGTTCAGGAATAAAGCTTTTCCTTGTTTTGTCATGCGTAAAAGATGTGTTTTTTCAATTTTTCGCGCGTTCTTTTTCTGTGAGTTTTCATTAGAACATTCTGTTTGTGTTTCAGAATATCGCTTTATCCTCATATCACGAGGTGTTTTCAGAGGTGACTTGAGCAGCCATCAAGATTGCGATCGCGAATTTTTCTCGTGTTTAATGAGGTTTGATTTATGGGCATTTCGTCCCTTTTCTTTTCACAACTTATACCGGTTGCTCGTTCTTTCTTGATTACCGTTCCGTTTCTGATGTAGGGACTCCAATCTTGGAGAAATGTAAACGGATGGAAGCGGTATCAGTTATTTTTAGCCTATTGTACATGACGAGGTAGGGCTCATTCCTCTCCAAGCTCTCACGATGTAAAAAGTTTGAACTTTTTACATCGCGAGAGCAAGCGAGGTACAAACTTGCCAGTTTTCGAAACATTCTCGCTGCAACTTCTCCTTTGGAAGCTAACAGCTACTACGGCAACAGGCAATTATAAAGAAACATTTAGCAAGATAGCGAGGGGTTTTGTAGCGTTCCGGCATCTATTGACAGCCATTTGAAAAAGATTAAAGCACAGCACAGTAAACGGTTAAAAACATAAACATAACCATTTCGCTAATGCATTAGTATCAAAGACAAACGTTCTTTTGCACTTATGCGAACAGCGAAGTAGAATGCAGAATTAAGAAAGATAATAAGGGGGACTGATTTGCAGAAACTCCACATTCAACACTCAGATGAATTAGAAAAAACCCTTTAAAAAGCAATTCAGATTTATATGAGAAAGGGGTCACCCGACATTTACAATTATAAAAAGGGATTGCTTTTTCTGTACAACTACTTTGTTGGAGAATTTCTTCTTCACCAAACAAAAGCGAACTAGAACACCAACGCATGTTTGCAAAAACGCTCAAAACCTCCTCCGCACCTCAGCATATCACCCAGTCGTGCAGCATTGCGACGCAGTATCTCTAAGTTTTGCCGAAATCACGGCAATCATTGGGAGAATTGTGTTTCAGCAAGAAAATGACCGATCCGCCTAGTCGAAAAGTGACACACCGAAAGCGACACCCTTTGCTATTCTCTCAACTGTTATCTCAACTGTTATCGCGTGCATCTTGCAAATCTATCGTGATAGTTAGTTAGCGATTAGTCACGTCGAAAACAATTGGCCGTCGTCGATATTGGCGATCGTCAGACTTGTTTGATCAAAACGTATCCAATGTGTATTCTTCGAAACTGTCATTTTCCGTCGTCTTTAGTGGCCATCGCCAGTCGCTTTTATCGGGACAGTTTTTTTTATCCTTGCATCTTCCCGTTCATAGGGGTCTGCTACTCTCGTAAGTCTCTTCCATTCTTCACGGTTCGATGTTTGGTTCTCATCTAATCCAAGCTCTCTTAGGTCTGATTTGATCTTGTCCATCCATCTCATTTTAGGTCTGCCTCTTGGCCTCTTTCCGGGAACATTCAGTGACAGTGCGAGTCTTGTGATATGGCTTTCTTCTCTTCTACTTACATGTCCGTACCATCGTAGGCGCTTCTCTTGTAGCTTCTTTATGATCGGAGCAACCTTCATTGTACTTCTGATGGTGTCGTTCGAGACGTGATCTAGCATGGTGACTCCAGTGGTCCATCGCAGCATTCTCGTCTCCATTACACCGAGTCTTCGTTCGTCGTTGCGTGTGCTCGGCCAGCATTCGCTACCATAGAGGGCAGTTGGACGGATTATTGTACGGTATATCTGGGACTTGAGCTTCCGAGGTATTCTTCTGTCGCACAGGACTCCTGTGAGGCTTCTCCACTTTGACCAAGCCGCGTTGATCCTACCGAGTATCTCTTCGTGAAGGGTTCCATCTGCGGCGATACGACTTCCTAGATACTTGAACGTGGTAGTCTTCTTGATCATCGTGTTGCCAACTCGAATGGTTCCTGGGGTCTGGACTCCAAGCTCCATGTACTCCGTCTTTACTGTGTTGAGTCTTAAGCCATGCTGTTCCAACTGAGTCTTCCACATCTGTACATCGTCTTCTAGCTCATTCCTGCTTCTTGCCATCAGAATCACGTCATCCGCATATATCACAGCCCATGGTGGTTGACGTATGAATCTACTGGTTATCGCATCCATGACTGTGATGAAGAGTAGTGGCGACAGTACAGATCCTTGATGCACACCTGCTTTTATCGGGAATTCTTCTGATCTTCCTGCTGCTGACTGCACGTAGCTGGTCGCATTCTTGTAGATCATCTTAGTCCACTGCACGTACTCTTCTGGGACCATATGCTTTCGTAACGACCACCATATGATGTCATGTGGCACCTTGTCGAACGCCTTCTCCAGGTCGAGGAACGCTGTGTGCAGCTCACATTGTTTTTCCCTGCTTCTCTCCATCACTATTCTGGCGGTATGGATGGCGTCTGTCGTGCTGCGGCCTTTCACGAATCCACATTGATTGGATGCCAACTCTATGATGTTTCGGAGCCTCGTCTCTAGTATCCTTTCGAATATCTTCAACGTGTGCCTCAAAAGTCGTATAGGCCTGTATGTGGAACATTCAGCTATATCGCCTTTATTCTTCCATATCGGTATCGTCGTACTTCTACACCAGTCGCTCGGCATCTTTCTGGAGTCTACTATTCGATTCAGCAGTCGCGTCAGCCACGTAACTCCTGTCTGTCCGCACTTCTTCCAGAACTCGCTCGGGATGTCATCTGGACCTGTTGCCTTGCCGTTCTTTGTTTTCATTATGGCGATTCGAACTTCTTCTTCCGTGATGGCCGGTACTGGTCCATGTACAGTCTCAGCCGCTGCAGCTGATGAGTATTCGTAGCTTGTGGATGCCGTTTCTGCGAAGTGCTCTCTCCATCTCTTGTTGATCTCTTCAGGTTTCCTCAACACTCTTCCATCTACATCTTTGATATTGCAGAAGTGCTCCACGTCTTTTGAGGCGTTTGCTCTTCTTCTTGCGAGCCTGTAGATCTCACGTTCACCTCCGTGACTGTGCAGCTTCCTGTATAGCTCCTCCACGTACGCTTCTTTCGCTTGTTTGACGCTCCTTTTCGCAGCTCGTTTGGCGTCCACATATGCCTGCCGCGTTTCTTCTGATTTTGTCTTCTGCCATATTCTGAAGGCTGTCTTCTTCTTCTTGATCACGGACTGCACGTCATCATTCTACCACCAAGTTTCCTTATCGAGTTTTGTTCTTCCTGGCTTCGTACGTCCTAGTAGATTAGTGGCTATCCGATGGACGTTGTTCTTCAGATTCTTCCAGGAGTCTTCTGGCTCTTCTTCTAGCTGTGGTAGGGCAGATTCCATGGCTGCTCTAACTTCGTCGTTGTCTCTGAGCTTCCACCATTTGATGCGTGCTACTTGCTCTGTCGTTGTTCTTCTTTGCCTGTCGATTGGAATATTCAGATCCAGAATCAGTGGTCGATGTTGTGGTATGCAGTCTTCACCGGGTATGACTTTGCTGTTCTTCACATACTTGAGCTCGTCTTTTCGTACAGCCCAGAAGTCTATTTGTGATTTCCGATCTCCACTGGCGTACGTGATGAGGTGATTAGGCTTCTTAATGAAGTATGTGTTTGCTAGCGCTAAGTCATGTGCCGTGGCGAATTCCAGGATACGCTCTCCTTCTTCGTTGCGTGTTCCGTATCCGTGATTACCGTGACATTTACTAGCACCGTATCGTTGTTCACCGACATGACCGTTTAGATCAGCACCAATCAGTAGCATCTCGTCGTTTGGTATCAAGCTTGTGTAGTCGTCAAGTTGATTCCAGAATTCATCTTTCTCCATCTGTGTGCAACACACTTGAGGTGCATAGGCGGTTATGATTCGGAGAATTTTCTTCCCGGTATCCACTCTGATGCACATAATTCGATCACTTATTCGGTCCACGCCAGCGATTCTACTCCTTAGTGCTTCTGAAACCACTATACCGACGCCGTTTCTGGTGTTACTCGATCCTTTGTAGAGAAGCTTGTAGCCGTCTCCTATATCCCTCGACTTCTCCCCTTTCCACTTTGTCTCCTGAATGCAGGCGATGTCAACTCTACGTCTTCGTAGAAGATCAGCCAATTCGCGATGTCGTGCTGTGAGTGATCCTACGTTGATGGTGGCTAGACGTAACCTTGAGGACTTGAAAACTCGCCTATGGTGAGCTAGCTTCTTCAACCGTCCCCGCTCACCCTGCTGAAACGGTAACCCTAGCATACTGTTCGCACTCGTCGGGCTCGAATGCGCGTCGCCTCCGGGGAACGCCCTAGCTTTTACTCGAGATATCCGATGAGACATACAAAAGCATCTGATGCGACGGGGTTTCTTCTTCAGCCGGCTTGTCGCTTGCTTCCTTTGGATGAGCAGCCTGACGCTGGAATCGTGGGCAGAGCTTTTTGCCAAAGAAATTAGGCCCGCCGCGGAATCGAACCTGTGACCTTCCTCGCCGTAGTCAAGGGCACTAACCTCTCGGCCAGCTCCGCCCTTTATCGGGACAGTGCTTTCATATTTATCGATCGCTACAACTTGACACAACTTCCACTAA